ACACAATTTACGATAGAAAAAACTGGGAAGAAAATTAATTGAAAAATGGTGTGTGTACTCACCGACTATAGACTGACTAACGTTCGTGTGGGAAGGAAACTCTAGCGTCAACTAAATAATAGTCGGGATAAAACACCAGCAAGACTCTGTGGCGTTATAATTAGCAAAATACGCCTCATACCACAAGTATGAGGCGTATTTTGCTAATGATAACGCCGCAAAGCAGAATAAAAAATTGAAGGTGTGGTCTGCTGGATCAAGAGCAAGTGTATGAGCGCCCATATACGTTTCAGCCGACTTTACACTGCGCATGTGCTACTCCTAGGGTTATTTGCAAACGTATTAAGGGCTGCCGATTTGACACCGATGATGTGACTCAAAAAGATATCTTTCCATTTTATTGTTAAATACACCACTTAATTAGGGAGCCGTTGTTATTTTATTACTATTTAGTTCAAACACTTTTTATTTCTCGAAGAAATGTTTAAAGACGTTTATCTTTTCTCAGATGTCGTTTGTTTATATTTAGGACCAATTTTTGACAAGAATATAGTTTCAAAGGTTTAACATTTATACTTGTAAATAACGGTAGAGGGGATTATAAAGTAGTCAGATTTTTGAACAAGTTTTCGCCAGATTTTTTGATTGATTTTTTGATTGACCGCGTTTGAATATTGTCAAAAAAAAATCAACTTTTTTTTTCGTCGGAATTGATTAGTTTTGTGTAAAATGTCGACATAAAATCACTTAAAATAACACTTAATGCTTCAACCAATTATCATCGTATTCAAAAAAACGGCTTCATAAAATCAACTAACATGTTTGTTGGAGAAAAAAAAAGACTGGTCGCAATTGGCATAACGGGGTAATCCTATACAAAAGCACTACTTAGTTCACAAGTGAGAGTGAGTTAGTAAATCAGAGTTTTACATGAGAGAATAGGAGGCTGTCCCCTGGGACTAGTATAACCTGTAGTTGAAGTTTAAAAAATCATATATTCATAAATACCTAAGACAGTTTACGCATTCCTATTGGTCGAGAGCCCGTCACATGGCCGGTCTTAAACGGAAGATAAAGACATGGCTAGCTGGTCTTAAACACTTTTCCAGTGTCACAATAAAATGTGGACTCCTAAAAATCCAGTGCCTCTTATCGTTTCATTGGTTGAACGTTCCCAATTCTCACGTAGGCATGCGCAACACTACCAGGGAGTCAGAATTTTAAAGTTCTAAATTCAAAACGCAACGCGCCAGGTGCGTTCCGCGCGACATCGCGCAGAACATGATACGCGCGCGTCAATCTCCAGAAAAGGGTTGTTTACATCTTACTCGCCAGCTGAACTCTCCATTTTTTTGCAAGAGGGATGTTTCAAAAAGCATAAATTGAATTTGTTGAACAAAATCGGGATGTTTTGAACGAATTATATGATTTTTTCTTACCGAAAAGGTATTTATGAATGGGAATAAATATGTGCTCCGTCGGTATTTATCAATCTGTTTAAGACCACTTAGAGTCTGGGTGCTGATAATTACCCTCGCCTCCGGCTCGGGTAATTAGGCCTATCAGTACCCCCACTCTAAGTGGTCTTAAACAGAGTGATAAAAACCTCCGAAGCACACATTTATTCCCTTATTAAATTTCCTTCAGTCTTGTAAACATCAGTAAGCTAAGTAATCGAGAACACCGATATATGTATCAAATTAATATAGTACCTTATGTCTTTTAAATTAAAATTTCATTTAATATTGCAGCAGCATTCGACCTGGTCGGTAATCGTTATTTGTTAGACCTACAGGGATATGCGTGTTTCATCCATACATCAAAACAAAATTAGACATACCTGTCACAATCTCCGTAGAATGCAGCACCCGCTATTGAATCGTGCGTGGACATCCGTACCGTGATAAAGTATAGTGGAACCGTCTGAGAAAATCGGTCATCAGGTAATCATTCCCTGACGTACAGTACGTACTTCCGTGACCTGGCAGATCACCGCAAATTTCAGTCAAAACCAGTGATGCGGCAGTAATAATGGACGCCATTTTCCGTAGCAAGCAATGCAAATAGACTTCGTTATTGATACAAACGTCACGTGTTGTTTGGATTACATATGAGACGTAGGGTTCAATGGGTTGAGTGCCTGCGATTTGCTGCCTAGCCCAAAGTCACATTTATCTTCTTTTTTTTTCTGTGTGCAGTTTTGAACGGTTAGATGGAATAATGCTATCTTGATAAAATACGTAATTTTGCACGATGTGATGGTTTGACATAATGTGGTGTGTTTCGTTTATGTCGAATAATGCGTCACTTACAGACCTATTTATGTATAAATGAATATTTGTGCATGTAAATCATTATCCAGAGCAGTTTTTTTTTCCCCTGATGGTGGAGGGGGAAATACAAATCAACGTTAGTAGGAAATATCTATCGATCAGTGCACCTACATGAGCTTTGTTTGTAATTTCCATGCTTGACGGTTGAGTTCATAGTAATTTACAAATAAATGTTAAGCACTCCGCTGCACTGCAGACGATACCATTATTTTGTAGGTGAGGCACATCATCATAATTTCCTATAACAGTGTTTACTCTTATTCCGCAAGCCAAATTTTCAGCCCGATTGGTCTTTAATAAACGGAATGTCCGTTACAGTTTCAGTTACTTTTTTCGACTTACTTTTTTTGAATTTTACTTAAAAAAAAAAAAACTTTAAAATGCCCCCTTTTCATATGAGTTGCATTTCCCTAAGCAGAATTCCGTCAACCAATGAAAGGATCGAAGCGCCCTCAATTTACACAGCGGTAAAAGACGACAGCGCGAAATTAAAAATTCTGAAAATGGGTCTTAATTTTCCAATTTTGATGGTTGCATTGTTAATTTGTGACACATGTGCTTCACTACATTACTTAGAAGACGAACACCCAATTGGTGCAAGTAGATTGACGAGAACTGGTAAGTACGGGACCGAGATAATCATTCATTTTATCAACAACAATCGATACAGGCCTAGGTTGGTAACGCTTGGATCATAATGTTGCTATGGCTTGTCTTCAAATTAATTAGCTTGTGTGGCGGTAAGTTGATCCATTCTGTTGTAGGCTGTGGCATAGACATGATGAATATCAGGGTATGGATTTGGAGAAACATATATAAGCTTTCAATGTGGATCCCAAAGCTTTTGCCTTATTGTTCAATATTGAGGATTCGACACAACTTTATTCAACAATGATTAAAACGAAATACAATTTCCGTTCTTTATAATAAAGTTATAATTGGTACAAACTATCCTGCGCTCATCAAATGTATGTGCTGAGAAATTGTATAGTATGAAAGTGGGTCAGTAAATCAGTGTTGTACATGGATGAATAGGAGGCTGGCCCATGGGACTACACTGTTAAACCTGATGTTTATGATCTAAACACATGAATAAACACCAAAACGTAACACTTTTTAAACGTTTGGACGCGTTTTTAAAGTAAACTCCATTTACAACATGAACACGTTTAAATTGAACAAGGACACATGTTTAACAGTTAAACACCTCCAGTTATTCTTTAAACATGTTTTTATTGGAACATACGATGCTTTTTTTTAAACGGTCGCTGTTTAAGAAGTGAACACTTATACATGTTTATCGGTATTTAAGATGTTTAATTTATAAACGTGCAAAGTGTTTAAATGGCGTTTAAAATGTGTTTAGGTGTTTAACCTATAAATGCATTTACCTGTTTACAGCCTGTAACACTTTTTAAACACAATTAAAAAGTTTATAAGTATTACTATGTTTAGGTTCACAACATCCCAAAAAGTGTTTAAATGGCGTTTAAATTGTTTTGAGGTGTTTAACCTTCGTGTGTTTGCACTGACGTGTTTCCAGCCTGCAACAGATTATAAACACAATAACGCGTTTATAAGTACAGTATTACTATGTTTGGGTTTCAACATCCGAAAAAAATATGAGAAGACGTTTAAGATCAACATATTTAATTGTGTTGTACGCATTGTATTTGACTGTTCAGCCCATCCAATTTTTTAAATTGGTTTTCCATTCGCATGTGCATACACATGCTAAACCTCGTGATATATTACATCTTGTATAGTCTTCGACATGTCATGTTGGGCTAGAATCAAGTTTGTCACCATGCTTGTTGTTTGAAGAGAAAGTTAATGATCCATGATCGACGAAAACAAACCTACATGTACATGATAATCTTGTTCCTTGAAGTTCAAACCCTTCTTACAATAATCACAAATCTGTCACCGAGTTGTAAATTTCCCAAATACATTATGTTTTGTTATTCTAATAATTAAAAGATAATTCTAATAATCACAAGAGATGTTGGCCGGCTTAAAACGTTCTTGTTTAACTTCAAGAATAACCTATGACATCGACAAACAGTTGGACTTGGTTCGGTATGTTTCATTCATTCTTCATTATATCCAAATCACTCATCAATTTGTATGTACATGTAGTTATTTACTTTTTGTCGTCAATTTACAGTACCTTTATACATCCAAAATGCACAAGCAAAGACCTTTGCCAGCTAATCTTCACCATAATGTCAAGATTGTCTAACGTGTGGTTTTCACAAAATGACAAGCGTATTTCTCTTAAATATACACTCAGTATGTATTCAGCTAAACAAAACAATTGACAATTGCTTTATTGTATCCATCATTTCATGACCAGTGTTATACTGATGATACACAATCATCATCTTCAATGACTGGAGGAGGGGGACACGACTCTCTCTCTCCCACAACTCACTTTCCCCCATTTAGGGCCGCCTAGACCACTCCTACCCTATTTGGTATGCAACATACTGCTCCAGCTTACTATACCATCATGTACATAATTTGGGGGCTGCGCATATGTCAACATCTGTGTACATAATTTTCATAGTGAATGTACAAACATAATTTCATTATGATGATTGGAATTTATCCACACTGATAATCACGTCCATACTGTCCATGGACGATGGCTTACCTTGAAGCAGCATGCAATACCAGCAGGGTATGTTTGTCTTCATGAAAATAGGTCGTGAACAATCATGATGGAGGAATGGTCACACCAGTCATGCCAGTCAGCCTGAAACTGAAAAAAAACCCACAAATTGTATTACAAATTAAATGACCGAATTCTTTGAAATCACCATGATTTCACTAAGTTGGCCTGCATGGATGTTTGCAACATGTACAAATAAAAAAGGCATATGCAACAAATAAATGTACATGTATACGTAATTGTACAGGCACGTGATGTACATGTATGTAATGACATATATAAATGCACGTGTGCATGCACAGCACATGTGCATGCACATCAGTATGATGTACATGTACATGTACATGTACATAATAATATACATGGACATATAGTGCCAGTTTTAATACAGCGCACGAACTGAGTGTAAGTGCGAGTACTTGACTCGGGCAGTTTTGGGGCTAGATTTTTGATTCAGAAACCAAGTCACCCGAAAATGTAATGAAAGTAGGCTCTATTTCGTGATTTACAAGACGGAACATGATAGAACTATGACCAGAGAAACAACTTTTAAGAGTTCTAAACCGACAACTATTTTTATCACTCCCGATAAACAAGGCACATACAGTTGAAATTTACTTAGTGGCTTCGTAGGCCTACTGCATAAGTTCATTGACCATCCATGTTAACTGCGTATAAACTAAACTTATTCCGTGGTGACGAAACCTGCACAGCCACACGAACTTTACACGGATATATTTCACTTATTTCGACGGTACAGAAGAACCTCGACGACTCAGCCGTCGTATAAAAACTACTGTATTTTTCGGAAATGGATATAAGAAACGTACTTACATTATTAGAAGAGGCTGTTTCTGCTTTGCGAAACATCGGTACACCGAGCAACAAAGATGGCGGACACACTCGAGGTTTGAAACTGTCCGCGCGCCGCGGGGGGGGGGGGGGGCATTATCACAATGCGCATGCGTGAAAGTGTCGCAGGATGTTCATTTACTAAACAGGACGAGCTCTAAACGCATCCCGTCGATAAACACGGTAACACAGTGTTTTGTTTTAAAACCATGAATTTCATGAATGCATTACGTTTATTTGCGGTGATTGATGTTTTGCTATTAAACACAACCAGCCTCTTAAACGTATCCAGTCGATGAGCACAGTATCAACAACAAAGTGTTTCATTTAAAAATGCATTTATTTCACATTATTCAATTTATAAACTTTAAACACGTTAGTACGTTTATTCCTGATATTATGTTCTGTGATTTAATTAAGTGCATCCAGCCTGTAAACTTCTGACCAAGATCTAACACAACTTGTTTCATTTCAAAACGCATTAATTTCACATTATTTATATTAAAAACGCGTTTTTTATGTTGATTTGCTGATGTTCTAGTGTGATTAAACACAACAGGCCCTTTAAACGCATCAAGCTGATGAACACAGTTTTAAACACAAAGTGTTTATTTTTTAAACGCATTCATTTCAGATTTTTTAATTTATAAACGCGTTACGTTTATTCACGGTGATAGATGTTCTGTGATTAAACACAACCAGCCCCTTAAACGCATAAACACATTATCCTACACAAAAAGTTTAATTTTTAAATTCATTAATTTCAGAATATTCAATTTATATAACGCGTTAGGCGTTCCATGGTTTTTCAGTGTACACAACTGCAGTTGCAGTTTTAGACTTTCTCTATTAACCTCACTTAAGTCATTGTCAACATCAATAAGCTAAGAAATGGAGAACACCTATGTAAGTATCAGAATTATATAGTGCCTTAATGTCTTTAAACTTCAATTTATATTGCAGCTCGAAACGTCAGATTACCGACTTACCTCTCGCCAAACGAGGTCATCATACACAGAGGTCAAACTCAGCACATCCGGTGCCCCAGCTACATAAAGGGTGAACGGGTGAGCATGGTGTTTTGGTTCAAAGGAGAACAACTCCTTGCCCGCTACACCCATCCCAACGTTGGCAGTAGTTATGCATCAAGTGATCGTTATCGGATGTCCCACTCGCATGATTTGATCATAAGTCACGTCGACATGAGGGATCATGGGAAGTACATTTGCAGTGTTGTCCCCATCGCTACCACCTTACAGAGGAGGCAGCCGATTTCCGTCACTGTTCTAAGTGAGTATATACAAGGACTTGTATTGATTGAAGGCAACTATTATGATTTGGGCCTGTATAGACGATGGGCATTTATTTACACAGTGCATTTGGCTATCACGTGATGCAAACTTTAAGCAAACGGGTCTCTTCTGCACTCTGTGTATATCACTTGAATATGATTTTTTTTCAAAAGAGTGTTCACATGTACTGTTTAATGTGAGCAAAATACCATACAAATGATGCTTTTAAGCATCCCAAACATTTAAAAATGTTTGGGTTGCCTTCCTTGTCGGCATGACGTCACAGCTAGAGTACATGGTTTATACTACTAATATCACATTGTTTGTCCAAGTGCACTTTCCCAATTATGCCAACGTATAAAATGAGTTCTTGTTTGCATTTGACGCATATTTTATATATACAATAATAAGGGAATAACAGTGTGAGGAGCCGGTCTTCACTGCCTGATAATGACCGGGTGTGCGGGTGACCGCTGTTATAATGGACCGAGACGAAGTCGAGGTCCATTAACAGCGGTCACCCCCACACCCAGTCATTATCACGCAGTGAAAACCGGATCCTCACACTGTTATTCCCATTAATAAATACCTTTTTAACGAAATAAACAGTTAAAATGCTCCAATTTTTTTACTTCCTTTCGCCGATATTTCCAGACTTGTTTGTGTTCATGTTCATGGCCAATATTTTAGCTTAACAGCTATAACGACGTAAACTCAACAGAAACTGCTGCCGTAGCGAAACAAATTACAACAATGTTTTCATACCTTTACCTGATGGAGGAAGCTAAAATCTCGTTTACACATTCCTTGTGACCGTAATTACAAAGATGCTTGGTTTAGGAAAGGTAAATATGTCGGTGGGTGAAGTGTTCAAAGAAAATAAATCGTAGATCTACGCTTTCAAATTTCGTCGTAAACATCCTCAGTATATACTGCACTGCTGTACGATGTCGTTTCAAAACTTCTTTACACGCGCGCACGCACGCATTCCTAGCAACTGTGTTGCGGCCGTACGCGCGCATCAGTCTCACGCGATGGGTTTGAGCGCATGTGCAATGTTCTGTTGTTACAAGCTACCGCGGGACTGTTACTATATTTTGACCAATCATTGGCTTGCACTGGGCTGAACGGGGCTGGATCAATGCTGGTTCAGGGGCCATTTATTCGCTTGATCTTTGAAGCCGTTAATCACCGTTAATGCCCGGCCACGTGATCGAGTCTCGACCACTCAGAAACCATCAACTCTCCAAGGTATTTATAAAGGGAATAAATGTGTGCTCCGGAGGTTTTTATCACTCTGTTTAATACCACTTAGAGTCTGGGTGCTGATAATTACCCGAGCCGGAGGCGAGGGTAATTATCAGCACCCAGACTCTAAGTGGTCTTAAACAGAGTGATAAATATCGACCGAGCACACATTTATTCCCATTCATAAATACCTTTTCGGTAAAAAAAATCAAACAATTCGTTCAAAAAATCCAAGTTTTGTTTAACAAGTTCACTTCATGCTTTTTGAAACATCCCTCTAGCAAAATAATGGAATGTTCAGCTGGCGAGTAAGATGTAAACAACCCTTTTAAGGAGACTGACGCGCGCGTAGCATGTTCTGAGCGATGTCGCGCACAACGCACCTGGGGCGTCGCGTTTTGAATTTAGAACTACAAAATTCTGACTCGCTGGTAGTGTTGCGCATGCCTACGTGAGGACTGTGAACGTTCAACCAATAAAACGGTAAGAGGCACTGGATTTTTAGGAGTCCACATTTTATGTGACACTGGAAAAGTGTTTAAGACCAGCTAGCCATGTCTTTATCATCCGTTAAAGACCGGCCACGTGACGGGCTCTCGACGAATAGGAATAGCTAAACTGTCTGAGGTATTTATGAATAAAGATTAATAATTGTGCTTATATAGCGCTTTCCATCGTATCAACAATCTCAAAGCGCTTTACAATTATTACCCCGTTCATCAGGCCATGGGACCACGTGGCAGCCGATATCAGCGCTCAATCGGTCCTGTCCTCGACCCTCACGGGTACCCATTTATACTCCTGGGTGGAGAGAGGCCATTGTAATTAAGCGTCTTGCCCAAGGGCACAAACACCATGTTTCTGGCAGGGTTTGAACTCACGCACCTTCGTACTTGAGTCAAACACCGTAACCACTGGACCATGGCAATCTACAAAGCTTAATTTCAAAGGAAAATAATCAGTTGCATTAAAATAGGGGCGAGTTTCATGTGAAAATAAAGCACTTGAAGCGCACACATTCCTATACAAATAAGCCCCCCCCCCCCCAAAGCATTATTAATGATAATAATAATAATAATACTAACTCTTTTCGCCCCAATAGGATGACTTTCCCATAGACTTGTGCACAAACCTAAACTGTCACCTAACCCAAGTTCACCTTATTTTTTTTCCACGAAATTTAGTATTTATACTAATTGGACCATGAGGAATCGATCTATATGGTTAGCGACAGCAAAATTCCTTGTCCTAAGGGCTAGGGTCGTTTACATAAAAGGGCGACAGTTATTTTGTCGCCTCAATAAGGTGTATCGCCCTATTGTGGACGGAGTTCGCAAAACCTGTCGCCCTATTACAGAAATAGTAGTAATAATTATAATGATAATAATAAATAATGATAACAATAATAAAATACGCACTGGGCAGTCCCCCCCCCCCCCCCCCATTTTAAAATCAGCAAGAATAACTGGTCAGTAGAAAATTTTCGAAATCTGACTTTAAGAAGTTGTTTTATTAATAAAACAAAATTACAGTGATAGCACTGATATCACAATCTCTTCTTACACGGAGCTCTTGTGGTTTTCTATCCATTGTAGAAATGTTCATTTTTATGCCTTGTCCTTCCGTGACCACAAATTCGTATCCTTGTGGAGACACACACACAATAGGGAACAAAACATTGTAAAGGTCTCCGCATGGCAATTTCTATAGATGAATTTTCTATAGTCTCCACAAGGTTTTCACGAAATAGATATACGGGTTTTACTCAAAAACTAGGAATTTCCAAGGTGGGTTGATCCGTCGCAAGGAAACTAATTCTGGTTAAAATAAGAGCATTTTGAAACTTCACTTTCAAAATTGAACACTACACGAGAACAAAGAAATGTTTCCACAAGGATACAAATTTTAGAATGTGTGGGTGGATGGGTGGACAATAGGGGGTCCCCGATTGCAGGCAAATACACACTTGGGTGGGTGGGTGGGTGTGTGTCCGGACAAATCTTATCAGCGCTATAACTTGAGAAAAACTTAACATATGAACTTCAAATTTGGTTTGTGGATTGTTCTCGGTAATTTTAAGGGTGCACGCCTGTAAATAGGCCAAAAAAAACATCCGCCGAGCTCATGAATAAAAGTTGTACCCTCTAAATATTCTATATTAGAGAGTTTTGAGAGCCATAAAACTGGGGAATTGAAGAGATATGGTAATGAACCTCTGGCCCGGACTTGGGGCTTCCAATTCTGAGCATTTTGGATGCCATCTAGCTCAAAAGTGGCGCTATTTGGCCATGTTGTGGAGGGATCGTTTTTGAAGATGGCTACTTTTCCGCTTATGGGGGTCGTCTTTTATGGGTGAGAATATCTCGAAATGTCAATGGTCAACCCACCAAAAAAATGAAAAGAAAATGAAAGATGACACATTGATCATCATTTTTCTGTGCAGCTTGAATACCTGTGAGAGTCCTGAGTACTTTTAAAACAATTTTGAAGTAAGCGCATTTAGCACTAGTGTCTATGGGATTTTTTTTCTGCAGTGTTGCACCGCTAAGAAGCCTTTTGCATTTGGGACCGAAAGGTCAAGGGTCAATACGTAAGGTCAAAGTGGCTAAAACAATATAAATCTTGTGAGCGCGATAACCTGAAAAATACTTTACATGTGAACTTCTAATTTGGTTTGTGGATTGTTCTAAGAATTAAGAAGCCTTTTGCATTTGGGGACGAAAGGTCGAAGGTCAAGGTCACAGTAGCTAAAAAATAGAATTTTGTATTTATTCTGAGATCATAGGGATCAATTCATATAAAACCCACAGAAAAACACTAATGATGTCAATGAACGTTCTTTGTGACCCAAGTACATGTACATGTAAGTTGATGTTAAAAGAGTGGTGTTATGTCACGGGAACAGTCACGGTTGCGGTGTTTGTAAACACACCTGACTTGTTTTTTTGTTTCGTTCAGCTGATGTCCCAAGCTTTAAAGAGGCCATGTACCGTAAAGCAGGCGATGCCTGCGTACAACGGAATCAGAATCATCACATTCAGTGTCCAAGCTACAGGGAAGGGGAGTCCGTGAGTTTAGTCTTCTGGTTCAAAGGAGGACAACTTATAGCCCGCTTCGCCAACCCAGCATTTGGCACTAACTTTATTTCGAGTCGTCATTACTGGATGTCCAGTTCGCACGGTTTGGTCATAAACCATGTTCAAGCTACTGATTGTGGAGAGTACGTGTGCGGTCTGGTGCCGAGGGCAACAGGGGTACAAAGGAAAGGATCAGTGCGAGTTACTGTATTAGGTCAGGCAATTCCATGCGTTACTTGCCATAACTCTTAATTTATTACACAATATCTTGAATGGTGGCTAGACCTCTTTTCCAGGCTGTTAGATCATTCTTTTCAAATCCCACCCAATGACCAATACGAATGTGTTTGTCAGTACCCACTTAATCACTTTTGCTTTCCTATGGACCCAAAATATCTCCACAGTTTTCTTAATGTATACAATTATTCATTCCCTAAAAATGCCCTTTCGTTTTGGTGTCTCTTAGTTCAAACTGAAACCTTTTCTGGTTTTATCAGAATCAAATGGAGTTTTAAGCAAGAAACACATTTTACCGTGTACATAATTATGTAAAGCCCACCCTCTCCTCAAATAGTTATTGCAAACTTCCTGTTAATACAGACTTATTGTTTCTTATTTCCCACAGATCCCGAATTTCCAATCGTGGGCGATTCAGAAGTTGTAAACAAAACTAGTCTCATTCTCGAAAGAGGGCAAGGACACGTGAAGTTGACCTGTCCCGCATTGCGCATGGACCAACAGGCTGCCACTGTCTACTGGTCCCTTGGCAACGAAGAGACCATGGATACCAGCATCATCGGTGTGCAGTTCTCCGATGGGGAAGCAATGGTATCGGATGACTACCGTGGCGATTACAACATCACAGATGGTGGCTCGTTGGTTTTGAACACATTAGACATGCCAACTAGTCGTTTCTGGTGCCATGTTTTTACGGATCAGCCGGGTCTGTTTTGTGCATATTATGACATCACCAAGACAGGTAATTCACATACAAACGGCACGTTCGTGCGCATGTTGATTGTAGCGCTCAAAGATGTTTGTTTGCGTGTATACTTCCATGTTTACGTTTCACCTATTAATTTTTGATTTTTTTCGTGCTAAACTCTTCCATATTTCTGTCAAAATGATATCCACCTGAACAAGGTCCTCTTCATGGGCATTTGATAGCCAGCTTATTCAGTCATTGTTGAATTGTGTTATAAAACATCAGACTCACTCTGTCTATTTTCAATCCATTTCATTGATAGATCCTGGTTCAACAACGGAGAGTGCGACCAGTGGGAAGGTTGGCCGTAGTGACGAAATAAATCCCCAGGAAAGTGATATCTTCCAAGGTGAGATAGAACTAGAATATTACGGAAGAGTATGGCCATCTCGTGCCATTGATATATTTAATCAAAGAAAGGCAAAGTTACAGAAGGCAATCACAAGTATTTTGTTATGAACTCAACCGCAAGTATATGGAACCTCCGTCAACCACTTGATGTTGTGGTCATACTATTGTTCCATCGGCTTTGTAGGATGATTGTCCTGAAAGCGAATGGATACAACAGCATACCTTAAACCGCATTTTCATTTTCTTCCTTTCATTATAGGCAAGGCACCTTACGATTCCATAGCTCTATCGACAGCAAAGCTTCCGGATGGCCCGTATATCGTTCCTGTAGCGTGTCTACTCACTGTCTTAATCATTTTCATCTTGGTGAAGGGGGACATCAGAAATGAAGATGCGAAGAGTGGAATGCAAACCCAAGGTAATAAGTGGAACATCAATACATGTACATGAGGAAGGGGTTGTTGTAGCATGGTACTTCAACCGTCGAGTTATTGCTACCGTAGCTGATTTTGCAGATGTTGTGGTGGAATGTGCTATAAATACTGCATGCTTTTAAATAAACCCTTAGTTTGTACTCTTAAAAAGATTTCGGGGCAAACTTCTAACTCATGTCCCCTTCCCATGTCAGCTTGGACGTCATTCCGACAGGTAGCCGAAAGGCAAAACGAACAACTCAGCATCTTTCTAGTGTAAAACTTGCTAATAATTAACAGTAAAATGACAACACTCTTAAACCACCCATATTTCAAGAGATATAGTGCAGATTAGATGATGGTTTCATGTGATTACAGCTAATTATCGTAAATAGTGGTTTCATGGTCCATACCCCTTCATCTTCAAGATGCGGACACCTCCAATCCTCAAAAAAGTTATTGTGTTTGTTGAAAAAGAACGAGGGGCTTTTCTACCGCCCTTCCTTTATCATCCTTCAAAAACGTTTTAAAGGAATAGTAACAAACGATTGGAAGACATGTTGCAATCAGTGTGACCTATGACTTGTGACATGACCTAGGCTATGTCATTTATCTATAGATGAATCCGAGGCCAATCAGAGTGCCAAGCCGAGAGAACCGGCCTCAGTTGCCGCAAAATGGACAGAGAAGGGAGGTGTTGTAACTGTCACTATTCTTCCAGGTAAAAATGATAACACACACATTTGATGGGTTATTCGTTGTGAAAAAAAGACAATTGACAAGCAAACTTTATTTACAATTCAATAACTTCACTTTCAATAGAATGAAACAAGACAAGGCAAGCCTAGTAAAGCTGGTCCCAAAGCGCACAGATTGCTCTTTAATGAATTCAGAATGGATGTCCATTTGAAGTCTTTACATGCATCTGGTCTATACAGTGGGCCGGATGTATCCCACTCATTCTGGTTTTACGGCATAATCCTATACAATAGCACTGTCCGGTTAAACACCTGTTTAAATGAAAATATATATTGTCCCTTTATCAGGTATTGGACTATTATGTCCTATCCGCCCCTCCCTCTGTTTCAAGCCTCCATATTTTCTCCCATCAAATATCAGAGAAATGTAACTAATGACATTCATGTCTGAAACTCAATTCCCAATACAGATGAACCTCATGGTTCCACAGACAATTCTTCAGCTGACAGAAGTGAGACTTGTACAGCTGTTCGGGACTTCGCAGCGTTTCTGCTGTCACTGTTCAACATGGTGAAAAATAAATTCTAAATAAAGGCATCATGAAAAGAGACTTAGGTGCTGTGAAATGACACGCATAAAAATAAATCATCGTAGCATATAGAGCGCCCTCACCGATGACATGCTTAGTCCCACTGTATATATGCTTGTTTGACACTTTGCACTTTCATTGTCGCTAAATTGAAATCACAAAACAAGGGGCTGACTGACACCAATCAACACTTAATGCACTAAATAAATCTTTCATTTTAGTTCTAGAGGTTAATCTCAACCGAAACTCTGTGCATGTAGCCATGTACACCTGTTTCCGAAATACATATGCAATTTGTAAATAATTTCTAACTGCTTCATGAGAGATAAGCCTTTTAAATTATGTAAATTGTTGATTTTTATTGTCATTCTGCAATATATTTTACATGTACATGTTGTAAGAAAAGGCGCTGTAACAATGTGTATACTAAAGTTTAATAGTGTGTAAAAGGCGAATTACATTCCATTTTTGTCTTTGTAAACAATTAACCTTTTTGAAACATGCAGTTAAAACGCCTTCAGATTTCACTCGTTGTAATGTGGTTGAATGATTCAGGTGGAACCATCTTGCCAATGGTGTCGATGAAGTTAACCGCTTGAGCAGAAAAATCAGTTTCCCCGATGCACGTGAGACATGTGCAAGTTGAGTGTCTTGCATTTATTCAGCCTAGTCAGAGATTATGGAGCTGCTGCATCGTACAAATGCATATTACAACCAAAATTCTATTTTTTTCAGTAAGTAAATTTGACTGTCCTGTCTATTGCATTGTATATATTCTTCCATCTTGAAGAGTGATATTGATATCGATGTGTGAAGTCGTAAGTTAATTGTAAATCGCTAGCACGTGATAATTCTATCGTGAATAATAAAATAATAGTCGTGACTTTTGGGGGCTTTTTACACCGACATTTCTGTTATAGTTCCAGTGAAGACAATAGGAAAGAAGTTTATCATGTTAAGTTATTTTCATGACAAGTTGCTGCAAAATTATTTAAGATGTATTTTTTTTAATTGGTGTATATACCAACAATCTATTCCTGCTTTCTATTCTTTTGAGTACAGCTTTGTTGAAAGTAGTTTAGGTGATCAAGTTAAACATATTAAGATCATTCAAAACCATTGCTTTTATTTATGTAAATTGAGTTTGTTGCTCACTAAATTTAGCGTGAAGTTCGGAGTTAACTCTCCATTGCACTACTTTAAAGTGATGAATAAATTCGTGCATGCCACATTCGAGCAAGTCACAATTTTAATTTGTTCTGTGTTTTCATTTTGCCAGTCCCAGCAGTTTCCAACAATTTGCTACACATTGTTTCCTTCAAATTGTAAACACATAAAAGCTAAGGCAAACACTTCTTTTGACTCCCAATTTCAGTCTAGAATTATAACCACATTTAGCCATTCTACAAGAAATTTGAAAAGTCACCAATTATGCTTGAGCTTTGAAATTTCCCCAAAGAACGAGTTGACATACGCGCTGACTTAGCTGTACTTTCTTCAATCCTCATGAGAAAACGCACGCGCGCTAACTCTACTTAGTTTTCCATATTTCTGGACTTTCCTTTTACTGTTTTGTTCGCATTATTCCAAGCACAATACATGCAGTTAAATATTACGTTTGTACACCTCATGTAAGCAGAGCGTGTGGGCCTGGTGGTGGGCCTGGCACTCTGACGCTCATGCCGGAGTTTGTGGGTTCGATTCCCGCCCGGGTCGATATACCAGCAGAGCAGTTTACTTCTGGATTCGAACCCGGTTCACCGGAACAGAAGCTCCGTGATTTACCTCCTGGCGCGGCCACCGGCACTTCTGCAGCTGGACTTCTAATTGTAAATATATGAAGCGTGTTTGTACTTATAGAGTGAACGAAAACAATACAACTCTAGCCGGGTTTTCAGCCCGTTACCTCTAGACTCAGAGCAGGAAGATCTACCAAGAGACCATCACCAATGGTCCATTTTCGAGGGGGGAAACGATTCACATATCTGTAGCATCGTTTTCTAACCGGGGAAAAAATAAGATGTGCTGGGTTGGAATCGAACCTACGATCTCCGACTTGTGAGTTATCAATCTTCGATGACACTGACGTCTTCACTGGGAATTCCTCTCAAATCTCAAATAGATAGAGAGTCGTTTTCTACTCGAAAGTACATTTTGTACTCCCAATTATATTTTATACTCGACAATAAAAAAGCTCACTCTTTGAACGGGGCTAAATCAACTGATATTCGAGTTTTCGGCCCTCAGATTTGGTATGATACCGCCGGCTACTTTTAAAATGGCGCCCTTTAATATCTAATCTCCTTCTTGGAGATTGGACACAATTTGGGCTGGTACTGGGCCGAAGTGAAACCCTGAATTTGTGAACGAGATTTTTTTTTTTGGGGGGGTGGTTCGATGCTTCAAGATTTGAAAATCCTTATATGTCTATCACTGTTAATAACAAACTGGTACTTCATCATCTAAATAATTATCTGCGCCCTCAGTCCAGTCCGGCAATTTAAATTGTACCAGTAGGCCTAGATAATTGATCTTGTTTTCTTATTTCTTATTTCCAAGACAGCCTACAGGATGAGTCAAAGACTTGGATTAATGTTTTCCTCTTAAAAGAAATTACATTTGATACACCACTAAAACACGTATTAAACGAGGATGTTCACTCGTGTGAAAAAAAAAATGAAATTGATTCATGGTATATCAAAAGTTAGCCATGTTTTAATAACCGAACCCATTATTTTTACAGCGGCCTCTGGAATGCTGAATGCTTTGGAGCTGAGTGAGAACCAGAAATTACCCACAGACATTCAGATACAAAATTTGATTTTAATAATTTTAGTCAAGACTGAAACACTATATTTCTCTGTGTTTTAATATGGGGAACAAATCTTCTTCCTTTTTCTCTGAAATGATGACATTGAGTTTCGTCTGTTTTCCTTTGCAAGTTTCCGTTCATTCATGGGATAGAAAAACAACAATGTTCGTTATATCTAAAAGGTCATCATCAATGCGTATCGGTAAATGATTAGCGGTGGACAGCTAAATTATGTGGTATTTTCTATTAAATTGAGATAACTTTTGATTAAAGCATGGCATTTACTGGACATTTTCACGCTGATGAGAACCTGCGTTTTATTGCTGTTGTTGTTGTTTATATTAAATCGAGTAAGCCATATATTTAAAAAAGTAATTTTTGTTTATCCTACTCGTTCACGTTCTCTTAGGTTTGTTTACTTCTTGCGTGGTTATGTTGACATTCATTCGACATTTCAATCCATAATAAAGTGCCATTGCCTGTCATGCCCTATACAGTGTATACCGAAACAAAGATCACATGTCATGCTGTTTCGCTTTCTATATTTACATATAGTGTGTTCTTTTAAATTGTCTCATTGTTATCCAGCCCTGACCAGTTGGCGCAAGTCAGATTTCACCCGACCCCTTTAATTGTCTCCTGTGCAGTCATGTATGAAAACTAATCAAGTGAAAATGTCACAAAAAAAGCAGGAAGAGTTACTCTAAAATTACATATGAACATATCTTATCTGAATTGCTACAGAATAAAACTATGGCCAATTTTAAAAGTGTATATTTTTTGACTCGCACTGTATACTATCTTTGGCCGTTCATTGTATGTACAGTAGTTGTAATAAATTATGTAAATATAGAAAGTGAAACAGCATGACATGTGATCTTTTTTTCGGTATATCTGAAAACAATCAACCAATCAATCAATCCAGGTGAATACATATGATTATATCTTTGTGTAAACTACCACACCACACTAACACACGATGGCACTAGGGAAGCGATCTTCTTGCGGATACCTGTTTTTAATTGTCTCCTTCTTCAACAAATGCTGCTCAGGTAGGTTGCCAGTCTGTCACTTGTCATTTGTGATATCTTTTTTGGGGGGAAAAAACTAGAGATTCGCGTTTGTTGAGTTATAAATGCTAGGTGATCGGACCGAAAACTATTTCGTATGACACTGCCCAGTTGTGAATATTTTTTTATGTCACAATAGAAAAACAAAAGATTCTGAAATTCAGCCATTCTAGTGAAACCATTAGTTTTCATGTTAACAAAGGCATCTCTGTATTATGATAAATTTCAATATACTTTTATGAACACGTACACGTTATTTCTGGTTTCATGACGTCATCAGTAAAAATGTACAAACTGAATGCTGATTAAGTCAAGGAGGATATTTACTCAGCATGAAGTAACAAGAACTTCTGAAGCTGAAGATCAATATTGTACCCGATATCATTATTTGTGCTACGAACATGGGGGGAAAATCATTCTAAATTCTCCCAACGATAACTTCAGGTACGATGACGTCATGATTCTGAAACCTTGCAAAGTCATTTGTGGTTGTTTAAAGAGTATCTAGGGGCAATGTGGTAAAATTGTAATAAATGGTTTTTAAATTAAAAATGTTCTACTGTCTTTGAAGAGCTGCCAGAGGGCGTCCTTTTTTTTTTTACATTCCTCACTAAGGACTTCCATAATTTGTGTATCTGTTGTAAATAGCTTTCATTTTCAAGTTATATTCAATTTTCACTGTACTTCCGGTAACATCGGAAGTAAAGGTCAAACGGCGTTGTGCCTGGGAATCCAAAATATTGCCCGAGGCAATGTTTAACCGCTCACCAACAATGAAAACGGCACTCCGATCATTTAAAAGTAAACATCCAAAGTAATTAGTCCAATATTGAACTTGATGGCGTCATGATGACGTCACAAAAGTTATAACATCTTTGGACTGAGGTCCTAGTTCATACCAGGTTTTGTGATCACCACCTCAACCGTTTGGAAGAATTGATTAGAGGCTCATTTCTATATTTTGAATTTACCTAACTTTAATATCCCGGTAGCCCCGGAAGGAAAGGTCAGACGACTTTGACTGTGGTGATTAAACATTTTCATTAAAGAGGTTGTGGAATGCTCGAAACCATTTCCGTCATTTTTCGGGTATATGTAGCCTAAGGTGTGATGAAATAAAAACGACTATTGTTTTTGTCATGAAATGAGTACTAAAGGTACTTTTGAGAGCTGTTTTTCAAGTCCTGTCAGGCCTGTTTCGACCCGAACGTGCAATTTGTGTAAAAGTCGTCGTTGCGGGCAGCAAACAAATCACAGTAAATCGTGACGTAATAAACAGGACTCCCGATGCATCGTAGCATATACAAGTCCTGTTTATTACGTCACGATTTACTGTGTTTTGTTTGCTGCCCGCAACGATGACTTTTACACAAATTGCACGTTCGGGTCAAAACAGGACCTGAAAAACAGCTCTCAAAAGTACCTTTTGTACTCATTTCATGACAGAAACAATAGTAGTTTTTATTTTATCACACCTTAGGCTACATATACCCAAAAAATAACGGCAATGGTTTCGCGCATTCCACAACCTCTTTTAGGTATGGTCGTTCAGGTCGCAGAGTGATAGTTCATGTTGTTCATGAGTTATAAAGGACAAAACCGTAATATTTTGATGAAAAAAAAATCGCTTGTCATTTCATACCTGATGACGTCATCATGACGTCAGAGTAATATGTACACTTTGGGATCAGTTGCGGGGAATTATTATTCGGATATTTTTTTAACTGTTTTTATTTTATTCAGTAGTCGGTTTCATGGGCGTGGTCACTCTTTGGCCTTTATGAGGCAAATGTGCACAAAGTAAACAGTGTATTACAGTGAAATCTCGATAATTCAAACCGCAAAGGAACAGGTTCAAAATTCTACTTAAGCAGAGTTTTGAGCTAAGCAGGGTTGTATACCATTGTTATACTGCTGAAGGGAATGAATTCTTTGTTGGACTTAACAGTTGTTTTGGGTTATCAGAGTTTGACTTGTCGAGATTTCACTGTATATCATAAAATATTCTGCTTCAGTTTGTTATTGCTTCCCGAAATGGAATAATACAATATCCCAATGTCATTTTCTCCAGTTTCTTCGCAGGAGGTAGTATTGTCCAGAATAAGTCGGTATGAAATAGAAGGGCAAGGAACGGAGTTTAAATGTACAGTCGGAAGAGAATATTACAATCGAGACTATTTCTCACACTCAGTCTGGCTCCTTAACGGGTATCCATTGTTCGAGCATCCCGACGAATTTCCAGCAACGCTTGAAAGTAGCAAAATGATAACGCTGCACAGAAACCAGACTGGATCCACGTTGATGTGTCTGCTGCATCCGATTGAGAAAAACTCGACCTTGACACTACACGTAATGTGTAAGTAGTCCTCTCCTTTAAATATTGCTAAATCTATACCTTATTCTTTAATTTGAACGTGATCCACAGCGTTCGATTACTTCCCCCGCGCTTATACTTGTACAACCGCAACTGCTTTCGATGTAACCCTCACATGACTTATCGCGCTTACTAGAGTCTGGCCCAATGGTTCAATCCAGTAAATATGCCTAAAATCCGTCCGCCGAGCTCATGAATAAAAATTATGCACTCAAATTATTCTATATTTTAGAGAATTCAGAGAGCCATGGAATTGGGGAATTGAAGATATATAGCACTGCACTAGGCTCTGGCCTGGACCTGGGGCTTCCGATTCTGAGCATTTTGGATGCGATTGGGTCCGAAAGTGGCGCTATTTTTAGCCATGTTGTGCAGGGAACCTTTTTCAAAATGGCTACTTTTCCAGTTTGGGGAACATCATTCGTTTTAGGGGTGGTCTTCTTGGGGTGAAAATTTCTCAAAAATTCATTGGTCAACCCAACAAGAATTGAATGGAAAATGAAAGACGACATGTTGGTCATTAGTTTATGTGTAGCCTGAACAGCTGTGAGAATTCCGAGTATTGCTAAAATACTTGGAATCACCTCAAAGTCACGGAATAACCCCAAAGTAACCGACCCCAAAGTAACCGACCCGCCTAGTCTATTTTGAGTTTCTGCAACCCTGTGAAAAAAAGTAGACTGAATCCAGGTCCCTACATTTTCGATTCTGGTTGAGGGCGGGAACCAGCTTGCCTTGCGAAAACTGAACTACTGAACTCGGGTTGAAAGTCGAAAAAAAAAGCTTGGTCATAAATTACGGTGGTTTTATTCTAGATCCACCAAGCGCCGTGACCCTGCATGTCAACACCACACATTCATGTGAGAGCGAGACGGAGTGCAGCGCTGATGTCACAATCGGAAGTCGCTATCGATTCGCCTGCAACGCGTCAGGTTCGAGTCCAGCCAGTAACATCACCTGGCTGATCAATACCAAGGCCCGTTCGGGAATGGGACAGACAGAGATCTCTCCAGATTGGAGTCAGTCACGCCAAGATGAGACCAACGAGGACTGGGAAACCTCGAGTCGGATCGATCTGCAGATACTCCCAGAGCATCACCAGGGAAGCATCACATGCAGGGCGATGTTTCCCGTCGGAGGAACAGTGTTCAGAGAGATAACCGTGAAACTGATTGCCGACGACAAACATGGTATGTTGGTGAGACCATCTTTGTTAAGTCGAGCTGGGCACAAACGTCTAAGTTGAGGAAACTTTATATCAATTGCTTGCTGGTGGTGCCGCCTCCTTCCATATTGCAAAGCTCCTAATGCTGATGGTCATATTATGTCTTATGTCTTATTTCTCACAGAGGTATTGCTGCTCGCCATCCTCATACCGACTGCGGTGGCTGTGTTCATAGTCGGCGTCATTGCAACTGTTTGCAAATTGCGGTCAAACGTTAAGCGTGAAAGAGCGAGAGGCTATAGCGGTAAGGAGGCTGCCATCGAGAATTATTCTAGCAAAAAGCTACCGACTATTTCAGTTGTTTTGTAATGCACAAAGAGGGAAGCAAATTTTGTGATAAACAAAATAACATTTGCCCTTTCGAGCCGAGAGACTCAATTTAGGACTTTTTACTCTCACTCAGTATCTCGGCCAGTCAGTCATTCAGGCAGTCAGAGCACAACAGACCCCTTGAATCCGAAGTCACATCTAAGAGCAAGTGTTTGTTCCTCTGAGACACATTGTACTTTAAATAACTGAATTTAAATAAGACACGCCGAGCAAGGGGTCTAACACATGGCCGTCTCAAAGTTTTGATGTTAGAGACAGACAGTTGGAGACAGTATTCAACTTGCATTGTGAACCTTTTGGATGTCATCTGCTAGGGAAACGCATCTTCTTAATACCCATATATCATAAGCTATATTAACAAATCTTATCCGTCTGAGAACAAACAAGACGGAATGCTTACTCTCTCAAAGAGACTGTACGCAGGGGTCGACACTTTGTACAGTCATTGTCGATGAATTCAAATAAAACAAGGGGCCCACTCACCAATAATCACTTTAATACACTGCACTGTCAATAAACCAACCCTTTTACTTCGTCCTACTATAGTGGTAATTTTCAACCAAAACTCGGTCCATGCACAACTGTTCCCCAAATATATCTGTGATTTGTAAATAATTTCTAACTGCTTCGAGAAATTTAAACCTTTAAAAACTGTTTGATAATAGTTGATGTTTAATTATTGCTATTCTTCTACAATATTGGTTTTTTTTGGGTACATGTACATCACAATTTATTTTCAAGCAAACTTGAATCCTCGATCCTGATAGTTCGATCCATGAAAACAAACCAAGGGCTAAAAACCACATATCCCACATCATAGCAGAAAAAAATGTTTTGTAATATCGTGCCAATAAGTCACACAGATAAATGGTTAAAACATACTTTGCAAGAAATAAATTAAAGCCAGAGTCCATCATTTGCAGCCATCCGAAAAGTGGCTGGCGTAATTATTGTTGAAAAACATACTTGGTTGAAAGACAGTGAGGGAACTAAACTCCCTGTGGAATTATTCTTCCTGGCAAGCTGTCATTTTGAAGTAATCAACGAAAGAAGGCCTATCCAACTGTGCGTCTTAAGACGCACCGTCGGAAAATTTAAATTAGTAGTTCGTTTTGTTATTCGGCGAAGCGCGCGCAAGCATTGGCACGACGCACACGCCGTGCGGTTTGCTATAATTCGTCGGATCAGTGCGCGACATCGCGTATAGCTGCAACCGGCTCAGTGAGAACGTGTCTTGGACGCTGAATTCAGGCTCAATTCAAAACATGATTCAGCAACTTTTGATTTGAAATTGAGATCCTAGAATGCTGTTTTTCTCGGAATATACAGCTGAAGCTGAGCTAAAGCTTCATCAGGTTAGTTGTTCAGTATCCTTCATTAGATTTTGAACACTTTTGTTGCTTCAAACGAACAAAATGCACAAATTACAAATGATGGACTATATCCTTAAAACACTGTGGTGTAACCTTTCATAGCTGCATGCATTCCTGCAGGAATTGTGACATGAGACTAAGTGGTTGCAGTTCTCAGTCGCGAGTGCGACGCACAACGCGCAACGCTCGTAATTAATAAGCAGCACAGTGTATATGACGCTTATTTATAATTATGGAACAGTGTATATGATATAGTTTATATATGCAACGCAGTGTTCATGAAATTAACGGTTACTTTTTACAGATTGGACACGTGACCGTTCTAGACCAATGAAATAACAGTATCCAAGCACATGATATAACAAATGGCGCTATCCGGTTTGTTAGTAAAAAGGTCATACCCGCGCGCGCACCACTGATTACTAGCGCCCATTGGATAAACCTTCGGGATGCGTTAGCTTCCGGTTCCATTCTTGCTATGCTACATTGTGTGAAGAATACATGGTTGACTTGAGATGACGTCACACTAACGAACCGGATAACAAAGATGCATGCGCCATACCTGCAGCACGCACGTATACAAAGGATGAACGCTGATAGTTCGCGGACAGCGTGCGTGTTTCATCTGACCTATGCGTCAAGTTTGCTTGAAGATAAATTCGTTATGCGTTTTTGTATAGTTGTATATCTGTAATCTATTTGAGGTAAATCTTTTCTGTACAACTTTGACGAAAATAGTTTAGCATATCACGTTAACATATTAAGATCATTCAAAACTAAAGTAAATATAGCTTAAATAATGGTAGGAGTACAAAATTCAACCGTCTATTTCACTTCTTTACTTCAGTATAAGAAAGTGCTGAGGGGTATTTGTGTACATGCCGCATTTGAGAAAATTAAAGATTCTGACCTCGTTTTATTTGCAGGGATGAGATTGTAAATCAAATAGGTTTTAAAAAGACCTGTCTTTGCCAGTCCTAGTAGTTTCCACCAAATTCGCTGTATATTGATTCCTCCAAATATAACACATGGAAGTTAAGGTAAAAACAATCACTTATTTTGACTCTCAATTTAAGTCCAGAAATATAATCACAACCAAGACAATGTATTAATTTAAATTCATTTAGCGCTAACATAGGTCCTGTCACGATCGAAACAGGCCCTCTAACCTCTTTGGTTAGCTATAATCTCAGGTTAATCCAATCGGTAAGCAGTGTTGGCAACAGTAATATTTATTTTTTCATAGAATACCAAGGCACATTTTGCCTTTTCTCTACACTACTCGAAAGTACATTTCCCTTTAAAACGTTTTTTTTTTTAGCCCGTAAAATTCACCAAATCAGATTTCACAATAATATTTTCAGCTAAGAATTTAGGTTTCCCATTATTTCCGAGCGACCCGTTTTATTAGCTTGAAGTCTAAATGTATTTGAACATGTGTGCTATTTCTCGATCATTAGGCTAGTGAGTGCATGGAACTAGATTTGTATTAATGGTCAGTGTGTTCTCGTACTTTTGGTCAAGCTTTAGAAAATTAAATTGGGGTTCCCAACTTTCTCTTCGTCGAAAACATTTTCTTTTCTTAAAATTGCCGAACAGTTCTTCCTTTTGGTAAGAAATTTTAACTGTCACCAACTGAAGTTTTCAAATATCCCTCAGAACGAGTTGACACACGCGCTGACTAAGCTGCCGTTTAGGGGGGGGGGGGGGAATGGAGTAAGAAAGCGCATGCGCGCTAACCTTATATACAGACTTTCGCTCGCAGTTTCGTTCGCATTGTTGCAAGCAGAATACTTATATGTTATTTTGTACATGTCACGTACGAAGAGCATGTAGGCCTGTAGTTGCTCTTTTTTTAGCCTACTTGTGGGTACCCTAATGCTCATGCAGGAGATTGTGGGTTGTATTCCCGCTCGGCCAAACAGAACATTTTACTTATTTTTTACTTATACCGGTATTTATATATCTGTTCATTAAAAAAAAAGGCAAATAATATTTGGGCTGGCGCTGCCACGGAACACGAACCCGCCTCATGTTTTCCTGCCACGGGTCGTCTTTTCCCTGGCCAGGACTCGATCGAACCCGCGACCATCTACCCACTTCCACACCGCACTCTCTACCGGGTACCGTATTTTAATTTTGAATGTTAACAAACTGGCACTTTAAGGGGAACTTCATCATGTAAATATCTGCGCCCTAATTACATTCCAGCAATCAAGCTATATTTTACCAGGGTACTTTAATAACCTTGGGTCTTTTTTTTCATTCCCCCTGTCCATAACAGACTAGGTTTACTTCTTTGAGTCTAGGTTTACTTCTTTGAGTTGTTAAGTTGAAATGAGGGCATAGTGCCCGGTATTTTGTCCGTACTGTTTTCAGATATAATGATTCAAAAAAATGTAATAGCTTTTCATGGCCTTTCGTTGACCTCACATTGCTTGTAGTAAAAATAAATTAAGCAAATGTAGAAAGTGAAATTGCATGACGCGATCTTTGTTTCGTTAAATCAAGCAAGCTGAATAATTACGATTACATATGAATTGCTGTTTCCTTGTGCGAATTAACACACCCAACAATGGCCTCAGGTAAGCGAGCTTCTATTGATGTCTACATGTTCCTACTAATTATTGTCTCCATCTTCAACATATTGTGCGCAGGTAAGTAGGCTGCCACCTTTTTGGAACATTTTTTTTTTAACAAAACTGAAAAGAAAAACAGGGTGAAGCCAATCAGTGACACAATTGTAGGAAGATCAGTAGACATTGACATGAATAACGAATTGAAACGAAAGCAGTAACTTTGTGTGACAGTTTCTCGAACATCGGTTTCAGCTAAACCTTAATCTAACAACTTTTTTTTTTCTTGGGAATGCTTGGTGTTGAGATTTATTGGCTATTTTAAGGCTATTAGGAATACCTGAATTATACTGTTTTAGGTCGTGAACCTGTTCAACTTAACAATCAACGAGAACAAAAAATAGCCGACATAAAAACAAGAAAACCTTGGGAAATGAACATTTCAGATAAGTTATCTTTATTTTGTGTAGGGGCATTGAACAATAGAGGACAATAGGGTCCACACTTCTCGAGAGCTCCCCAATTTGGATTCATGTACAAAACATGTGGGGGGTCTTCAAGAGTACAAGCAAAGAGGGACAATATAGCAGGCAAATACATACTTGGGTGTGTGTGTGTGGGTGAGCTTGTCTTACATACGCAGTGTGGACTTCCGAACAAAAGACGTCCACATAATGTAGGTAGCAGCGACGAAGTGTGGACTTGCCCACGTCCACACAGTGTTTCCCCATTTCTGGAAAACAGGTTTAGAGGCATTTTTGGGTTAGGTTTATCTGTAGCAGAATGAAGAGAAACACTAAAGGGAATCATTGAAAAAAAATTGGGTTGTAAGAGTTTTCACAGTTTGAGAAAAATGAGTTTTTCCACTGGTGTTCCTTAACTACACGAAAAGAAAGGAAAGTCCACACTAGGTATGTGAAACAAGTCTGTGTGTGTGTGTGTGTGGGTGTTATTATCTGATTACTGTGCGTGGTCACTATTTTTTAGCCTATGAGGCAACTATGAACAAAGTGGACAGTGAGATTTTTCATAAAATATTCCATTATGTTTTTGCTTCCCGAAATGGAATAATATAATATCCTGTGCCATTTTCTCCAGTTTCTACAGAGGAGGCAATATTGTCCAGAACAAATCCATATGAAATAGAAGGGCAAGAGACCGAGTTTAAATGCACACTTCGAACAAACAGAACTATCACACAGGGTTTTCTCTGGCACATTAACGGGACACACGTTTGTGAGTCCCAATCGGAAGGACCGCCGTTTGAGAGTCGCCTAAAGACAACGTTGTACAGAAACCAGACAGGATCCACGTTGATGTGTACATCGCAACCGGCTGAAAAATACGCGAGTTTGACGCTAAACGTAATGTGTAAGTAGACTAGTTCTATATTTCATCCCAAATCTATTCCTCCTTCTTTAAAGGTAAACAAACTCATGACTTTTCGAAACTTTTGTAAAGGCAGTTTTAAACTAGCTTGGTATCGACAAATAAGGTATTCACAAACAACTTATTAAAGTTGGTAGGCCTATACAGGGTGACCCAAATCAATGCAACTCTGGAACATTGCCTATTTTTAAAAAAAGTGATCTATGTATATGTTAATATATTTTGATATCAGGTTAAAGCTGGGAGCTTTTTCTGTCAAATACTGGGGGGGGGGGGGATCATAAAAAACATATTGGGTTACCGTTAGCACCCAGTCAGCTTTCCTGTGTGGTTCCTTTGAAAAAAATATTAACTATTTATTGATTTTGAAGATGACTGTCTGTGTACTACAACAGATCCCCCTTAAATGTTTAAGATCCGGAAGGAGCTTCTACATGTCAATTGGTCCGTCGGTCGGTCAATCAGACGTTCGTCTGTCTGTCTGTCCCCGAAATCGACCAAAAGTATGATGTTCCATATGTGCCATCGGCGTCGCATTTTTCAGCTCTGGCAGGGATCATTTGGATCGATTTCATGCAAGACTTTCATGCAAGGCTTCTTGCAAAACGGCTAGAGCTTGTTGTGCACTCGAACTTGTTTTCAACTGTATTATTTGTGCAACGGGGAAAATTATTTGGGGTTTCTGCAACCTTCTGACTAAAGGGTGGTTTTTTTTTTTGCGTTTCCTCGCAAACAGCTCCGCCTTGCGAGAAGACCGATTTCCGGTCGCAGCATTCTTGATTTTGATTGGAGGGAACCAATTTACCCTACTTCTGTCAGGTCGTCAATTATTCATAATTTGTTGAAAGTCATTCCAAAATTGATGTGTGCTGATTTTCACGTTCAATATCCCATTTTAAACATTTTTTTTTAACAATTTCTTTTTTTCCCCGGGCTTAATCTAGATCCACCAAGCGCCATGACCCTTCAAGTCAACACCACACATTTATGCGAGAGCGACACGGAATGCAGCGCTGATGTCACAATCGGAAGTCGCTATCGATTCATCTGCAACGCGTCAGGTTCGAATCCAGCTAGTAGCATCACCTGGCTGAATAATACCAATGCCTGTTCGGGAATGGGGCACACAGAGATTCTTCCAGATTGGAACCAGTCACGCCAAGATGAGACCAACGAGGACTGGGAAACCTCAAGTCAAATCCAGCTGCAAATACTCCCACAGCATCTGCAGGGAAGCATCGCATGCAGGGCGACGTTTCCAGACGGAGGTACAGTGTTCAGGGAGATAGTCATGAAACTAGGTGGGTAAAAACGAACAAGTTTACTTAGTCGAGCTGGACACGAAAGTCTCAATTAAGAAACTCGTTATTTCAACAATAAATTACTCACTGGTGGTGCGACCTCTGTAATAGCTTCTTGTTTTGATGGTCGTATACATTATTATATACATCCACCGCGTTTGTGAACTCAAAAGTCCGCCAGCTAGTGCCAATGTGCCTCCTCCCCGCCCCGAATTGCGGACAACTCTTTAAATCCACCACGATCGCGAACTCAAAACTCCGCCATTGCAGCCAGTGCTAAATATTTGTCACCCATATCGCGACAACTCAAGACATCCACGTTCGTGAACTTTAAACCCGCTTCAGCTAGTGCACATTTGTCCCCTAAATCGCTGATGACTTTTGATGTCAAGATTCTTGAACTCAAAATTTCGCCAGCTAGTGCCGTTAGTTTTGCCCCCAATTCCCGGACAACTCTAGACAAATTTGCACCAGCTAAATTTTAGTTTCGTAAATTCAAAGCTCCGACATCTAGTGTCAATTTGTCCCTCAAATCATGGGCAACTCAATGACGTAAAAATATTGTGATCACACTCTGTGATATTCAACAAATGTGAGTAATTTATCCCAGCAAATTGTCATCTGTATCTTCTATGTTAGCGGTAAGAAAATATATTACGAGTTTCTGCAATCTTCTGAAAAGGGGTTTGTGCGTGGACGATCCGCTTAGCGAGTAGACTGATTCCCAGTCCCTACTATACCTTCTGATTGAGGGCGGAACCAGCCTACCCTGTGAAAACCAAATTATTGTCGGGCCGGAAATAATAAAACAAAAATTGTAAAGTTATTCCATAATTCAACGGGTGCCGATTTTCACATTTGATATCTCATTTTAAACAATTAAAAAAACCAAATCATATCTCTCCCCTTTTTTGAGGGGGGAGGGGGGAGGGTTAAAATAGAAGGACATAACAATATTGTGTTTTCATTCTAGATTCGCAAAGCGCCATGACCCTGCAAGTCAACACCACTCATTTATGCGAGAGCGAGACGGAGTGCAGCGCTGATGTCACAATCGGAAGTCGCTATCGATTCATCTGCAAGGCGTCAGGTTCGAATCCAGCCAGTAACATCACCTGGCTGATAAATACAAAGACAGAGATTCTGCCAGATGGGACCCAGTTACGCCAAGAAGAGGCCAACGGGGACTGGGAAACCTCGAGTGAAATCCACCTGCAGATACTCCCAGAGCATCGACTGGGAAGCATCGCATGCAGGATGATGTGTCCCGACGGAGGCACAGTGTTTAGAGAGATAGTCATGGAATTGATTGTCAACGACAAACTAGGTTGGTAAAAACAGATCAAGTTTGCTTAGTCGAGCTAGGCACACAGGTCTGAGTTGCGAAAACTCGTTACACTCATACAATTACCCACTCGCTCGAACGATGATGGGGGAGAGCGTGGTGCCTCCTTTGCAAAGGCTTCTAATTTTGATGGTCGTGTATGTCTTGTCCTATTTCTCACAGATGTACTGCAGCTGCTCGCCATCATCATACCGGCTGCGGGGACTGTGTTTGCAGTCGTCGTCATTGTAACTGTTTGCACATTGCGGTCAAATGCCAAGCGTCAAAGAGCCAAAGAGGTTACAGAGGTAAGGCTGCCATTCAGAATTATTCCGGCAGAAAGCTTCAGAATACTTTACTTTTTTTGTGATAAATAACAAAACATGCCCTCAGTGAAGGCACACAGAGCAAGGTGTCTAACGTGGCCGTCTTTAGAGGTTTTGAAGTTTAGACAGCTGGTCAGAAACCCCGTTTCACTTGCATAAGAACCTTTCGGATGATATCTGCGATGAAAAGAAATATTATAAGTCCCAAATATCGTAAGATATAGAAACGATCTTAGCAGACTGAAACAAGCAAAACTGAATTATGTATTCTCTCAAAGGTAATGGAGGAAGGCACTATGAAGAAATGTAACTTTCCCCGGAGCAAGATTACGCTGTTCGATGTCATTGGAAGTGGGAACTTCGGTCAGGTCTTCAGGGCAACTGCAGACGGGATACTGCAGGAAGGAGTCGAGACGGAGGTGGCTGTGAAAGTACTCAAAGGCAAGAAACTGATTATAAATGAAGACACTACAGATTGTGGATGATGACTTACCCGCTACACCAACCTGCACCATGCAGACATTTGCTGGTCCCACAGGGCCAACCTGGTGTCATCTTTGTACCTATCTCACTGACCGACTAACTGACTTATTCTGACTGACTCTCATCTCTGTGCCGGGCAGTATTCATTTTTCTTTCTTTCTGTTGAGACCAATTATTTCTTAAAAGTGCACTAGGCACGGCAGATCGAAAGCCCGAGGAAACCTGTAGAGAGAAGAAAATGAGAAGAAATTACAGTTTTAGAGGTGGGAGGAATACCCCGAAGAACATTCTGGAGAAAACCAATGGAATCAGGTAGGGACTGAAAACCCAATCTACATGCGTAAAGGACATGATTCGAACCCAGCCAACGGCAGTGGAAGGCGAAGACAGTAACCACTGTGCCAACCAGACTCCCTTGTCGACTTGGATAATTACCTTGTAACGCCCATGAATGGGTCCGGGTAGATCTGGCCCATTGGTTAGACCATATGGATGAAAAGACTTCCAATTGATAGCCATTATTATTAGTTGAATATAACTATGTGCGCTTTGAGGCCAAGTATACTAAGGTTGGTTAGTCTAGTATTATAAGATTGCACACGGAGATACACCTAACCGCTATTGGCGACCATTATGACCTGATTTATTGCCATTTTTTTGTTATAATTGTTTTTTTTCTTTTCTTTTTTTGTTTCAGAGTCTGCTGATGGAGCAGCTGTCTGTGACTTCAAGAAGGAAATCGCGATCCACAAAACTTTGAAGAGACATCCGAATGTAGTCTCCATGTTTGGATGCTGCACTGACTCGGGTGGGTAGCACGTTTGTGAATTTAGTTTTCAGATAATGGGTCGTATCAAGATTAAGCGAAGTTGTCAGGGACTTCAACTATAACGACAAAAAAAAATTCAGCAGCCAATTTTTTTTTAAACAGGTGTATTTTGTGTTCTTAAATCAGTAATAATGAATACGCAAGAGGTAGAACAAAACACGCACCAATAAAATGAGAAGTTGGAATTAAATTCAGATGGGCTGACGAGTGCTCAATAATAGGCTTTCAATAATGACGATTATTGTAGAATTTCAACTGTCCCTTTTGACTCTTTTTTCCTACTGATCTGTTTTTCAGAACCCTTCGTCATCATTCTGGAGTTACTACCAGGGGGCAGTCTACAGGGTTACCTGAGGAACAAGAAACAGGCATGGACGGAGGAAGCCGTAGAAGGCGCTAAACCTGTCCCTCCATCCGAGCTGCTTGCTTTTGCCTCTCAGATCGCGAACGGCATGGAATACCTGTCATCAGTTGGGGTACGTGTGGGAATACAAGATAAAGAAAATAATAAACTGAGAGTAAAAACATTGAGACTGCGGTCAAGATCAATGTCGCAGTCACGTGGTTCATTATCTAATGCTGATCGCAGACAACCATGTTGTCACCACCATTATACATTTTATGTGATCTGGTCAGGCAACTATAGCTTCATCACCTAGAAAGAAATTAAGGACCTGTCTGTATACTGATGACCTCTAGGGTTAGGGTTAATGTAAGTGTTAGTGGGTATGTAAACACCGGCAATCGTGGACCTAGGACAAAAGGGTTAGGGCACACGCAATACGACCTACGATTGACCGATAGTCCACGATTGAAATTCGTGTACAAAACCAATGAGAGCTGTTGCTAAAAAGTTCGAGTACAAATAAAGGAATGAGGATTACGGACAATAGGGAGTTCACGATTGCCGGTGTTTACACAGATGCGTGTGGGTGTTAGTGTTAGGTATGAGTTTATGATTAAACTACTTAACTATTAATTTTGCGTGTTCCGCGGCTTTGCACTTATGATCTCAGTCATTGAGTACAGGCTAAGACGAATCGTCATGTCTGATACAGCAAGCAATGTACACTGAGGTCAGACTGAGGTCATTTGGCGAAATCAGACTTCCAAGTCACTTAACTATTAAATAGAAATCCCTATTTTTCTCGCCATTGTGGTGTATCAATTTCACGGGTGGTTATGTTAGGCTATATTAAAGATAATTCAAACATTTCTCCAACTTCAAACAAGCATACACATTTTTTTTCTGCAGTGCATTCACCGTGATTTAGCAGTCCGTAATATCCTCCTTGATAAAGACATGGTATGCAAGTTGTCCGACTTTGGCCTAGCGCGTGATGTTTCTGAGACACAACAATACGAAAGGACTTCAACGGTAAGTTAACTTCTAGCCGGCCTTCCTTTTTTTCTCAAGCTTTCATTCATATGTTTGACTACGGTACTTGTATTTTGAACAACAGAGTTGTACACTGTTAAACCTTCTCCATTCTTATATATGGCTAGCCGAGTAAAGTTGGCCCTACAGGTCTAGACCTGTCAACGTCACAGCGCACAATCGATCCGGAATGGCTATTTGCCGGAAGTCTATTCCGTGTTTTTGGTTCACACAACGGTCCGATTAAGCCCATACATTGGTGTAACGGGGTAATCCTATACGATATCACTGCCCGGCTCTCCTGACCATACAACCGGTCTAAGTCACAAGTGACAGTCAGTCAGTCGGTAGGACAGGTACAAAGAGGACAGTATGGCGGTTCATTGGTACCAACGAATTAATGAACGTCCTCCGTTTGTTCTTCAAATTTATTGTCAATATCTGATATTTCACGATTGCCTTTCGCAGGGGATGATTCCAGTTCGCTGGTTGGCTATCGAGAGCCTGCTTGACGATGTCTATACCACCATGAGTGATGTCTGGTCATTCGGCATTCTGCTGTGGGAGATTGTCACACTGGGTGCGTCAATTATTTCTGCCTTTTAATAACGGATGCTTTGTAGTTCATAATCGATAGCGTGCCCTCTACCTTCCAGCCAGTGTAGTGCAAAATTATGGCGCAGGAAGGAAAATGACTTGTGTTTGTAATTTGCATCTGTGTTGTTGCTGAGTCCTTCACAAGGCCTCACAAGTCCATCAATATACAATTCACTCAGTCCCAAGTCACACGCTATTCAAATGAACCTTGACAAAGACATTCTCCCGTTACTGTTCATCTTCTGTCACTTGTAACCGGACTTGTGACTTGACGGGTGATTTACTCATTTTGTTTGGAAATGATTTACTCATTTTGTTTGGAGATTGTAGACTTTATTCTTATTTCATGCGCAAGGATGACAGCATACTTGTGTACAGGGCAAATATAAAATGCTATCTTTCCAGCTGATCTCTAGCAAACGCCACATAGATCTGTGACACATATCTTCCTTTTTGTCCCACAGGTGCCCACCCCTATCGTGGCTTGCGTGCACGTGACGTAATTGATTCCATAGAACAGGGCTTTCGGTTACCAAATCCCGCCCACTGCAGCGAACAACTGTAAGTACCTAAAATTGGTTACGATATTGGGATGTGGCAAAGATCATTGCCCAAGTGGAAACAAATAACATTCAGATAACAACAGCATGCAGATCAAATATTTGTGAAAACACCAGGAGAACATTCATTGGGAGACACAGCTTCAGTAGTCGCATACGACTACTGAAGCTGTGTCGCTGAAATTCTACTTAAAAAAACATATGAGTTTCCATTAAGTGACTGTTATTTAAGCTATACCTTAAAGAGGATTTGCTTACGCATCCATTCCATTCAATGTTTACACTTAGACCCCCCTCCCAAACATTGCTCGGAGGTCGCCTATGTTGCCTTGAATCGCGTTGGTTGTCGTAGGTTGCACAGGGGAAGCACAGGGGAGGCAGGCAAGTGGCTCAGTGGTTCAAGTGAGAAACAAGGATCGCTGGAGCAGTTCCATGCATAGAAAAAGGATTTTCTGGGTGTAGGCGACTCATAGGTGGTACAAAAGTTGCAGCCCTGTGTAAAGGGACCTCTGTACATATAGGCCTACATGGTATATTCATCCACACTGGCGGCAAGACGTGACATCCTTTCCATTTTGCTGTGGTTGTACCAGAGATGAAACTTTTTCCGATTTTTATCGGAATCGATTTTTTTTAAATTCTCCTAAGAAACAATAAAAACTGACCAGCAATCAAATTATGTGTCTGCTAGTTTTCTTTTAAGACAGTCCGACAAATTGTTGACATTAGCAATGTAAAAGGGGTATTAAACACTGTGGCAACATATGAATTTACTCAGCATTCAGAAAACAAAATCCTACCATGTTTCTTTGTTATAAATATATATTTCTCATTACTATATGTTTAATAGTCTAAGGTCTCAGTCTCGGTCTCGCCCAAAAGGTCTTGGTCTCGGCCTCGACTTTGGACCCTGAGGTCTCGGTCTCGGTTCTCAGGTCTCGCTCTCGGTCACGAACCTTTCAGATCTCGACTGCACAACACTAATGACTAATGATATTAATTGTATTGAAGAGAGGTCATCCATATCTCTTCATTTTTGCTGGTCCCATTTGGTCAGCTTGACATCCAATTTGCTCCTATCTCGCTGACTAACTGACGGACTCACTGTCACTTGTAACTTTGTCTGGCTGCCCATCTCATTTTACTGACTGTACTGTGTCGCTTGTGACTTACACTGCCCTGGACCAGCTTGATAAGTCTTGCCTATAATGATGTAGCATCCTGCGACACATGTGCATTTGTTAGTCTTACGCCCCTTATTCCATCAAGCCTCCATGCGAACGGCGAGAGTAGATTTGTCTTTCACTATCACATTACCACTACAGTTTATTATAAGAAATTTTCTTAAAACTTTGAAGTACCTAAATTGCTTGCGATATTGTGAACTTTCACTCGGGAGGTTACACACTGAGTATACAGTATTTTTACACGTCGGTGAAGGGCAAGGACTAATATTGAACTCAGAACTTTTGGCCATTCTGAATCAACTGAATTGAAATGTGTGTCTTATGTTGAAACAGTTACGAGGTAATGAATGAGACCTGGCAGGAGACGCCTAGCGAACGCCCGACATTTCGCGAATTGAGAGAGACCCTTGAAGGAATGATCCCTGAGGCTCCGGTAAGCATAATTGAGTGTTTAACTCCGTGCATGAAATTTAGCTGACGTAATGGGTGTGTCCCCCCCCCCCAAAAAAAAAAGGAAGCCTGTATGTTCCCGCACAAATACCCCCTCATCGGTAAAAAAAAAAAAAAAAAAGACGAAAAAGAAAGAAGATTTGGATGAGACCACTTGGAGAGCCATTCGAACATTGCTGACGACACCATTGATCTCCATATACACAGACTGTGTATGAAGATCAATGGACAACACTCAACGCTTACGCGAAGACATGGCTGCTTTGTGCACATTTAGAATACACTTCGTCGTGCGTATTTCGCGATACACGCACGCGAACCACTACGTGCGCACATGCGTACTTTCAAAAGTGGTACTTTCAAAAGCCCTCTCTTGATCAGGCACGGAGCGCATTTTCGGTCTCTCTCTATAGATATAGAATAAAAAGACCCAGCCTCGACTCAAGGGGCGCGTGCACGTTCCTTACACTAACCCCTGGCTGTGATGATGACGTAAATGACGCCGATTGGCTATTCACAGGTTTCAGGCCGGGCGCGCCGATAATACGCTCGCGTGCTTTGCACGTAACGTCACGTACGAAAAAAACAAAATGTGATTCAAAAGTCGCAATGCTTGTACAAAATGGATTATGGCAGCCGCGTTTTTCTCAAAAAAATCCTGTATCTGTGGTTGTAAAGGCACGAAAGGGGTACGTACATCTAATACAAATCTTTGCTAAATAACGCAACGTCCAAACGTTATGTTTGAAAGGATTGATTCCTCAAATCACAACTTTTAACATTTTAAATATGGCGTCGGCACGTTAAACGGATAAACTGCAGCCCTAATTATAAGGTGCCATATTTTGGCACATTTAAATTACACAATTCCAGCGGTTACGATCGCGCATGGCATGATGGGAAACAACATGGCGCAGCAAGATCGTATCCACGGGGCACGAGGTTGAAAAAGACCTCAAAGACGGCCATCTCTGTAAGGAAACTGCAACCGCGTAATTTACGCATTATTTTACTGCGTATCAAGCACGCATTGCGCAGTGTTGAAAATGTTCCAAACACGCGCGCTTATTGCTGGAAATGTGTTCGCAATACGACGCTGCCGATGCGCTTTATGCAAGTTGACGCTCAAAATGCCGATGCGCGCACGTGGTTGGTCTGTAGGAATTGAAATCATTTGAGAGAGACCTTGTATGGTCGCTCACTTGTATGGCGCGGGGCACGCCAGCATATTAATTAATTATGCACAAAACCGTAGCGTATTGTTCTATTTGTTTCTGCTTTCTTTGCCATAAAATCCTGACAAGAAGATGCAACATTTCCCGGCGCTACGCGCCGTGAAAACTCAATTTTGCCATATACGTCGTGTACAAAGAGCAGAATTACCATTCGTACATATGAATAATTAATTAGCCATAATTCCAAAACCCTTTAACCTATAGTCGGAAATTTCTTGGGTATTTTCATGATGAGTTGCTCTATGCATGTACCAAGTTTCAAATTTTTTCGTCCCTCGATGACCGAGATCTTACGGAAGGCGGGGGGCGGAATCCGCCCCCCCCCCCGGCTGAAAGATGGTCAAAATAACCCGGCCTGATTAGGGTTAAAAGTGCAACAGTCAAATGACGATTTAACTTCATTTTGGTCGACAGATTTACCTGGATATGGCGAACTTTGTGGCCGATCAATACGTGGGAGAAAACTCTTGAGCATCTTTACTTCATCTCGTGTCCTCGCCTGACCTCTTCAACACTGTTTGAATGGATAGATCCACTACGCCCGCCCCCTGATGTTTTGACCAATCACAGCCGTGATTATAGTGCGACATGCGTGCACTTGCACGTGACAAGCGCGTCTGAATCATGTAGCAAGGCATAAGCCTATTTGAGGTATGGTGGACACAATAGGAGGGCGCTATTTGGTTTGGGTAAATACAAAGGACTTTACACAAATCAAACAGCGCCCTCCCATTGGGCGGGGCCTACTGGATTAGTTTGCTTGTGTTAAATTACCTCCAAATATTCCTTCACGAAGAAGTAGGTTCCAAAGTATTACGAAGATTAATTTTACATTACAAACAATGCATGCTCTTGTTTTTGCTTCCATGTTGAACGTTTTCTTCGTGGAGGCAGTTGCTGTCTTTCTTAAATGTACATGTACACTGTCCTCATCAAATTAAAATGTACGGTGGCCCTCGAACGACAGTTTAATATTGACCTTTTTAATATGAACCTTGTAACTTCTTAATATTGACGTTGTACCTTCGCAATATGCACGTTGCACGTAGCTTAATATCGCATTGTGGAAGTTGTTCCTTCTTAATGTGAATGTTCCAACTTGTTAATGTTCACGTTTGATCTTGTCAATGTACACCATTGATCATGCTTGATGTCAACGTTGCACCTTGCTTCTTCGCAATATGAACCATGTACCTTCGCATTGTGAACGTTTGACCTTGCATCTTGTTAATATCATTGTTGAACCGTCCTCCTTCGCAATGTGAATCATGCATTCTAAAAAGTACGAGGTCCTTGCAAAGCCCTATAGTTAGACAACCAGTTATGATGGAGTTTCAATCTGACGGCTGTTTAATGTCACTTAACCTGGTTTTACCTTGTAGTGATTTTATCATGACTCAAGGCTCTCTCTCTTTTATTTCACTAATCTTTTATAATTCATGTTCAGGCTAACCATAACCCAAGGTTGGGCATACATGTAAAAACATACATCCTGAAGCAAATTTGTCATTGTTTCAAATAACCCGATCTAATCATTTCAACCGTTTATTATACACACATTTATACCAGTTCGCTTTCTGAATGTTATGATTTCTTTCTTCCTGTACTTTCATCTTTGCCATATCCCAATAATTTTTGACTCGCCAACAGGGCTCCTTACCAAATAGTATGAGGATCCCCGCTGTTTTGACGAGCATTTGGTTTTCGGGCTACTGCTAAGTCGAACCCTACATACCCCCCCCCTCCCTTTCCCCGGATATCCGCGCCTGACCGCAACATGAAGAATATTCGCAATTGGCTGACGACCAGTCATGTACGCATGAACTCCAAGCAAACAACTTCGTATAGGGTGCCCCGGCAACACGTGATTGGCGCTCAACGCAACGGTGCGGTCGTGATGCGGCGCTCTCTCGCGGTGGCGGGTTATCGCTGCAGTGGGAAATTGCGCATTCAACCATAAAAACGTCTAGCCCCTAGACAAGCTCGAGTATGTTGAAGGTGTATGCACTGAATAAACAATTAAATAATTGACCGGAGCCACTTGTGCCCCGCGCGCTATCGCTTTTACAATGATTGACGGAAATGGGACCGTTGGTGAAATCCCCGATATCTCCCCGAAGTAATAAATACCAATGTATGCCCTTACTATTGTTGTCATGCCTTATAAGACGTGGATATTATTTCGTAACGGTACCACCGCATATAAATGATGTTCCTTTCAATTACATCTTAAGATCATACTCTTATACTAATTAAATACGCGGATCTCGACGGAAATCTCCTGTAACTATGATTAAAAACAAAAAAAATCTGAATAGGGCTTGAAGGATGTAAAGTATTATGATAAAAGCCTTCTTAACGTGATCACAGAACACTGTTTTGCATTATTGTAATTGACGGAGAGTATACCGTCAAGAAATTAATTAGTCTCATGCATTGAACACATCTTTTCTAGTGAAACAGCGCTCATTAGCCTGAACATGAATTATAAAAGATATGTGACATAAATCAGAGAGCCTTGATTCATGACAAAAATCACTACAAGGTAGAACCAGGTTAAGTGACATGAAACAGCTGTTGAAACTCCATCGTAACTGGTTGTTTAACTATAGGGCTTGACAAGGACTTCGTACTTTTTAGAATGCATGATTCACATTGCGAAGGAGGACGGTTCAACAATGATATTAACAAGATGCAAGGTCAAACGTTCACAATGCGACGGTACATGGTTCATTTTGCGAAGAAGCAAGGTGCAACGTTGACATCAAGCATGATCAATGGTGTACATTGACAAGATCGAACGTGAGCATTAACAATTTGGAACATTCACATTAAGAAGGAACAACTTCCACAATGAAATATTAAGCTACGTGCAACGTGCATATTGCGAAGGTACAACGTCAATATTAAGAAGTTACAAGGTTCATATTAAAAATGTCAATATTAAAATGTCGTTCCAGGGCCACCGTACATTTTAATTTGATGAGGACAGTGTACATGTAGATTTAAGAATAGTGATCAATAATTATAACAGCACTTTTGAAGAATTAAATCGTTAAACGACTCAGTCCTGTTAAACAATCAGTCCTGTAATTGGCGGGGTTTTTCTGCTGTGTGGATAATAAATAAATAAAATAAGACATAGCTTATAAGTGATTACAATCACAAACCACGACTAAAAACCAAAACGAAATCTACACAAAAGGTAGAATGAGAGGAATTATTATAAAAATTACAAACGATAGCAGCGCAGCTAAATCAATGAAAGAAACCCTCAATATGATATTGACAGTAAGCTTCAGACGCTGCAGGGGGGGGGTTAAATCCTCAAAGATACATGTGGTGAAAGGGTGTGTTAATTATGGCAGAAAATTAAAAGAACCTGTTTCGTTACTAAAACTCAACGAACATGTACATTTCAAAACGTTGACAGAATGTATAGAATTGACATATTCATGTTGTATTCATCGCCGGGGATGCACCTCCTTCCTTTGATCATCCTTGTCTTTCTTACTGGTGAAGACGTACTTGCATCCGGCTCCACACCTTCCTAGATCCTTTTCCTTGAAAACGGGCATGTGTTTACAAGGCAAGTCCCTAGGAAGATGCAGAGCCTCTATGTAAAACAGCAAGTGGTCGATCTAATCGCCAATAAACACTTAATACACTGAAACATTGATAAAGATTGCAATTTACTTCGTCCTACTAGTACTTATTCTCGGCCAAAATTTGGTGTATGTAAACGTGTTATTTGTAAATAATGTCAAACTGCTCCGCTTTTAAAAATCTATGTAAATAGTTCATGTGATTATTGCCATTCTTCTGCCTTGATTTCTAGAGATGTACATATTATAATACGATGCACGGCAACAATGTAAATACTCAACCTAACAGTGTATATGAAGCAAATGCCATTGCATGACATTTTTTTTTAACAACTAGTTTTTGTTTGTTACAACATTTGTATATATCCAGCACGATTTGGGGCAAAGAAGTACCCCAGTATCCCTATATCCTATACATACAAGCTATGCAGATTGATGACACATTGATGACTTAGGTTTATGACTTTATTTTTTTGTGCGTATATTTCTGTGTGTAATTTGCATAGTTATATATACATATATATTGGCAGGGGGTCGGGAGAGCACATCTTTTGATGACAGTTTTTTGTTAACTTTTGCTCTTCCCTGGGCAGCCCCTGCTAATGAGATATTTTTTACTTCTTTGTTGTCCAAAAAATTTAAATAAAATAAAAATAAAAATTATGTTTCTATTCAGCTTTTTTTCTAATGAAAATAAGCTATTCAATAAAACATCGGAAACTGTCGCTCTATTTTCACCAATTGCATTCATTTTCGAATCTTTAAAATATCTTTCCGTAAAAAAAAAATTACGATCGTGTAATAAGTGAAAGTTGGAAGTAGCCTTTTCTGCCAGACACAGACATACAGAAAATTATGCAAAACAAAGTTAGGCTAATTCAAGTTATATTTTAGGGAATACCAATCTCCATAATTTCCATAGGCCAAAATGAGCATTGTCCAGCAACGTTTTAGGACAAATGATTCGAACTTAATGTAATGCTAATACTGGAATTTAAATGTACGTTTTGTCCGTTGAACACTCAGCGAATGAATTAGAAAAATCTAATTTAGTAAGTCCGCCGAGTACTTATTAAATGAAAAGGACAGCTCAAACCACGTAAAATAGCTATTCTCTTTGTTGTAGAAGGCTTGTTTCTCAATGTATCGGTTGAACTGTGAAATTGAATTATTTTACTATATCGTATAGTAAGCGTTATACGCTTCATCCGGTATTAGAAACCAATAATCGCCTTTTCTATCTAGGGATCAATGTTTTCCATATTTTTTGTATATATCCATCTTTGATTGCATTGCTAAGTTTGATTAAGTATTCAATAACAAGAATTGTACACTGCTGCATGCAGCGTTGGACTGTTTTATTATTCAGGACAAAAGCTGTTAATTGATCTTTTTAGTGGGAAAAAATGCTGATTAATTATACATTTTGCAATTGTTTGGCACCCATGAATGTAATGTAATATACCGTGGATTTTAACTATAACATTTACATTGTAAGTAGCCCAATTTGGATTGATTTTAAAACACAAAAACTATTTGGAATAAGCAGCACCATAAGAACAAACAATGTTCAATCCAATGGAGTTCACTTTGAGTCATTTCTGGAGCCAGTCATGCACTTCCCCCTCCTAAAACTATACACTGGTAATTCATTCACAACTACATACATAAGTTAACCCCTAGACCCGTACACCTGTGAATAAAAACAAAATCATGTTCAAGAGGCCAATAATAATAAATTGATTGTTTCAAACCGACAGTTCCCATCTTTTGCATAGATAATGAATGTTGCATTATCCTGACGCCACTTGTTTTCATCATAATACTACTCAATGTTCAAAAGGCATGAATCTGAGACTGGGAAACATTTCGAATTTGGCCAGAAATACTTTAAATATAACACTCGACGATCCATAGACTTTGTACACAACCAAAGAAGTAGCGTCTGACTACTGCATTCTTTCTGTAACGTTTGCCGGATGAGTTCATAGCGCCCTCTCTGTGTTGTCTTAGTTTGAACTATTGAACCCGGAAATCGTCTGCAGCAATCGTCCAATTAAATGCCTAAACGGTGTTGTGCGTGAAGTGCGAATCTAACTATCCATGTACGGATGTAGGCTTGTAGGCATACACGAGCTTAGGTGATAGTGATATACATGTACATAGCTACATGCATGGTTGAATGGAAATGAATTATGTTTACTAGTTTGGTCCTGTGGTTTGGTTTTATCAGTAATTTCTGCTCAGTACTTTGGAATGACTCGCTCTATCGCTGATGGCCATTTGACAAGGAAATGTACGAAAGCGAGTGCTCTTAAGTCATGTCAGTTTATCAATATTATTGTTACTGCTGTCATGGTCTCAGGTGGGAAAAACATGTCCTTGTTTTATTAAACTTAATTCACAGCTTATAATGGAATTGACATAGGCCTAGGCCCTTTACCGATGTATTCAGTGTCGGCCTATGTACCCGAAGTATCTTAAAACGTGCACTCACGAATTTGGGATTTCCCAAATTCCTTGTTGTGTGTCACTATAGTATATACAAATAATGGAAACGACATTAAAAAAAAATATCGAGACAATATAAAATCGCGACAGTTGACGGTTGGCAGGAAGGGCTTCCTTTGATCATAAAACAACCTTTCTTTGATCAAAGAGCACACGCAATGTAAATTGTGTAATGCTTTCCTTGAAAATGCACCTTTGTTAATTAAGTCAATTTTAGCGAATACAATTATTCTCCAAAATTTTCAAAGGCAAAGAGTATTTTTTTTAAATACTGCTCGTCGACCACTGGAATTCGATTGGACGTTTTTGTCAGTGAACACTCAGCGAATGAGCTAGAATAATCCTTTATGACGAGTGAGTGCTGATGTATAATGAGCACTTCATTTTCAAATGAAATTTAGTGAGCTGTTCAAGTACTAATTTTAATTAGAAGGTCATCCCAGATAGTATTGGTAATGTAACACATCTTTTTATTAGGGGGGGGGGGTGCCAAGTAAAAAGTAGTTTTGTTTGGCGCACAAGCCGCACATGGCTTAGAAAACAATTTACTTTTTACAGTGCAGATAGCTCGTGTAATTATGCTCGTGTCTTTATTCTTCATCTAAGAAATAAAACATGAAACAATAAACTTACTTGCCTGTTAAATGAAGGAAGAAAGGAAAACTCTAATCTGCAATTTCGCAAGTTAAGGGTTGGTTTTCAAATGGCTTTATTTTGTTTCCATAATTATTTTTGATGTTCAGCAATTGTCAATGAACACCTGTAATTGTAAATAAACTTTTGTAACCAAAAAAAAAAAGTCCCTTCCTTAGTTAAATCCCCTCCCACCCAGCATGGTACTTTCAAGTGCAGTTCCAGATGTGTTGTCTGCCAGATTCATATCCAGGAGTCTGACTCCTTTTCTGGCCACTCTTCTGTCACTACCCACAGAACCATTGGTAACATCACTTGTAACACCTCTAATGTCATATATCTCATTTCTTGCAGGGTCTGTGGAGTGCAGTATGTAGGTGAGACTAAGAATACGCTCAAGAAGCGTTTCTATGCCCACCGGTCAACGGTCAACACCAAGAAACTAGACACCCCTGTTGGTCATCACTTCAACCTGCCTAACCACTCCATTTCTGATATGATTTTGCAGGGCATTGAATCTCTTGGCCATCGCAAGGACTCAGTTCGCCTCAGCAGAGAGAAAGTGTGGATGAATCGTCTTCGAACTATTCAACCACATGGTCTCAACATCCAACTTGGAAATGACTAATCCTTTTCTTCCTCCATTGTCTTCTGTTACAGATAATCCACCTGGTCTTCCTTGTTTGTGTTTACCCATCTTCCCCCATCTTTCATCCCTTTCCACCTCAATACTGTTCCCCCCCCCACATCATCCCTTCACTCTCACACTCTTTTGTCCGTTCCCACTCCCTGTGACCTTTGATCCTTCCCCTTTCTGGTCCCTCCCCTGTTTACACTAGACCCCTTGTGGTTTGCCCTCTCCCTTTGTCCCTTTGTTTCTTTGTTCTCTCATCCACCCTCCCCTGCATCTTTCCACACCTTTCACACCTAATCCTCCTTTTGTGTTTCTTCTTTCAGCCCTGCATGTTTGTGTGCACCCCCATGTTAATGTTTGTACCTCTGTCATTTCTGTTTTAGCCTCTGAAGAAGAACTTGCTAAGTTCGCAACGTCAGGCCACATTAATTTTAAGATTTATTATTAAGAACTTCAATTAAGCTTACCTATCAACGTATAATTTGTCTCCTTCCTTAACGTACATTGATGTATATTTATGGATTTGGAGGATAATTTTCCTCATTCATCTAGCTGTTATGAAGTGTGGCTTTTGTGGTGCTCGTCCTTGAACTACCTGTTTTTTTCTTCTGAGAAACAGGGTGGGAATTGAACCCACATCTCCACATTGACACACTCACCCAGTGAGAAACTGAACATCAAGACAATGGCATATCAAACTGTACATTTGTCAGCAACGTGACAACAGATCGACTCAGCTTATTTTACGTTTGAAATGTCCCCTCGTTTAACATGTAGGTCATACAGGTCGTGTAGTAAAAAAGAGTCAAGAGATCCAGTTTATGTGCATACCCACCAAGTACATGTGCATATGTAACCCCCTTCATGATTTAGTGGTCAATTAAGAAAAATGCCTACCTTTATGGGAAGTTGAAAATGCTCGGAACAGCATGGTGTCTCAGGCGGACTGTTTGCCTTGACCTATCGAAATCGCCTTCCACAACCTGTGTGCAGTTTCATTCATTCAATCATTTATCCATTTCGCAGACAGGTATTTGGTGACTATTTTATTAGTGTCACATGCAGACTAGCAGTATTCAACCTTTACAGTCATTGTCAATCGTTATTTAATAGACCTACAGGCCACAATTGTAATTGTGAAAAATAATGAGAAATACCTCCTTTTCACAGTCTCCCTTGAATGCTTTTTTTGCATGGCATTTTTTGGTAATTTATTTTTAGGAAATACAAGTCAATATTTGCACCTTTTAACTATTTAAAGATTTGTTGGCAAATGAACAGCCAAAAGACAGTTTTCCTTTTCATCTCACTATTTTGACGATATTTGTAGACTTTGTAATTACATTTCGAATGAAAAAAAGCTCCACCGACGGGTAATTCCACAGTGTCTCGGGAACGTGCCACACACTATTTCTGGTTCATCTAAGCCGAGTAAGTTTCTTTTCGACTTTAACTTTTAGCAATGGGACCAAATTAATATGTAGAATATTGTATACATGTAGTTTTCACTGCAGTCTGTTTCACTCTGTTGCAACAGTAAGGTAGTCATTGATGTTTCTACAATTATTTGTAGCACATAACCTGAAATATCATATTCACTTTTCCCCCTTTGATGGAGGCGTGGGTCAAAGTAGGAAGAGCCTTCTACTTAAACGTTTCACTTCCGCGTTTGTATAAAAATGTATATTACATGTAAACGCGGAAATATACATTTTGCACTTATACATAAGGATTTTTTTTTGCACATATCAGCCAGTAAGATGTTTGCGTTATTAACAGGCAACTTTCTAATGAGAATTAATATTTTGAATATTGAATAATTTGTACAGTGCTAATTTGTAATCTTTTGTTTCAAGTCATGGATTTATTGACGCAACTGAAAATATCTGTGACTATATTCAGTAGCATTATTCATTCAGTGCAATTTTATATTGTCACTTTCATTTATCGACTCAATCAGTTGTGTGTGTGTGTATTACATACGTATCAATGGATTCTAATACAATATTGAACGATTTACATTGCACTGTATTGTGAAAACGTCAGGTTCTGATGTGTCTAAAATCATTGGTATAGGAGCTGCAAACAAGTAGTAGCTATGCCCATTCAACCTGTGCAGTTTTATTCACTACGTTCACATGCAGACTGGCTGTTGACGTATTGGTGACACATGCAAACTAGCAGCATCCAACCTGGTTGGTAATCGTTATTTGTTAGACCTACAAGCATACGCGTGTTACATCCATACATGACAAGAATTAACATGAGAAATACCTGTCACAATCTCCGTAGAATGCAGCACCCGCTATTGAATCGTGCGTAGACATCTGCCATTGTACTGATACAGTGTTGTGGAACTGTCTGAGAAAATCGGTCATCAGGTTATCATTCCCTGACGTACAGTACGTCCTTCCGTGACCTGGCAGGTCACCGCAAATTTCAGTCACAACCAGTGCTGTGGCGCAGGGCGTCATTTTCCGTAGTCCAACAGTGCAAACAGACTCGACTTAGTTATTAATAGAATACAAACGTCACGTGATGTTTGGATTGAGATGCAGGGTTCAATGGGTTGAAGGCCTGCGAGTTGCCGCCTTAAAAGCAACCGGTTTTTTTTTGTTGGTGCAGTTTTGAACGGTAATAATTATTGAACAATATTATTTTAATAAAATCGTATTTTGCACGATTTGATGGTTTAACATAATGTGGTGTGTTTCTTTTTATGTCGATTAATGGTCGATTACAGACCTTACATGATATAGTGAACTTTTTTGCATAAAAAATGTAATCATTATCCAGAGCAATTTGGAATACCTCTGTTCCCTGATGATGCTGGGGGAATACAAATCAAAGTTAATAGTAGGAAATATATAACGATCAGTGTCATCTGCATGACCTTTGTTTCATTTCCATGCTTGACGGTTGATGTTAATACATGTAACATAGTAATTTTGAAATACATGTCAGTGGCACTCGGTGGTCTGGTTCCCAGACCAAAATATTCCGACTATTCCTGTTTCATCGGGATTAGTCAGAATCTTTTGGCTGGGAACCAGACTATGCACTCGGCTGCACTGCAAATTACGTGGGAAATTCAAATTGAAATTCTTTAAAATGGATCTTAATTTTCCAATTGTAATGGTTGCATTGTTCGTTTTTGAAACATGTGCCTCCTTACATTACTTAGAAGACGAACATCCAATTGGTGCAAGTAGATTTACGAGAACAGGTAAGTACGGGACTGAGATAATCATTCATTTTATATACATGTATACAACAATCGATATAGGCCTAGGCTTGTAACGGTTGGATCTCAATACTATTGCCATGGTTCGTCTTCAAACTGGTTAGCTTGTGTGGCGGTTAGTTGATCAATTTTGTTGTAGGTTGCAGATTAGGCATGCATATCAGGGTATAAATTTGGACAAACATATGCAAGCTTTCAATGTGGATCCCAAAGCTCTTGCCTTCTTGTTCATTATTGAGGATTCGACACAATATTATTCAAACATGATTTCAACGAATTTCCCATTACAATGTTCCATTCTGTATTACAAGGTAGGCTAATAATTGGTACAAAGCCAAACTATCCTGCGCTCACCAAATTTATGTACTGAAAAAATTGTATAGTATGTTGGTTGCTCAGTGAAAAAAAAGAGAAGTCAAGCTTTATATTAAAGCTGGTCCAATGGCTAAAAACATTAAGATCCATTGTTGATTCAGTTAAGGAGAATGGACGAGGAACTTCGGGCTAAAGAGGAATAGAATTATCACAGTTTATTCGCATATATGTACAATGTTTAGTTTGCTAGAATATACAAAAAAAAGACAGTCAATTCGTACGTAATTCTGCGAAATGGTTCATTATTACTTATCTAATTACTTAGTATTACAAATTCAGCATTTTAGTGTTTTTGGCAATATAACTAGTTATGTGTAGCATTGTTACACCCTGGAAGAGCTTAAGAGTATGTCCACGAGAGGACCATGCAGACCGTGACAAGGTGGGGGTCGGCGGATTTGGTTAAAATTTGGGGGGTAGGTGGGTCATAGGTAGCCTTGAGGTTGTACAAAATATTTGGCCAATCTGACCTCCGTAGCAGAAAAAAGAGCCAAAAATGTGTTTTTATTAGTGAAAAATGGTGATTTTTATGATTTTGGGGTACAAACGTTTAAACGCTTGCTGCTCAACAGGGGAAAGCAGCAGAGAAATGAAATTTGCAGGGTCCTGAGGTTGTATCCTGACCTAAAACCAGGTACTCAAAATTTAGAAAAAAATTGCTCTTAGGAGGCAACGGCACTAAGGGTACCCCCAAAGTTGAGTCATAGAAATAGCGATCTTTAAGTCGCCGTAGCGTCATTAGTGCAGGTCTTAGAACAATGACACTCAGGTGAAAGAGAGTTCTTATCATGGTCTTTAAGAATCAAGAATAAAAATATTGTCAGCAGTTTTTAGTATAAAATGGCAGGAGTCTGTTTTACCCCTATTTTTCGCTAGTAAAGGGACGGGGGAGGGGCATACAGTGCATCCCCCCCTTTCTGTATTTTCAAAAGTCGACAACCAATTTTCATGAAATTTGCTACCAAGTTTTATATTTCCAATTTGTAAATAATGACGTCAAAAATGTTTTTAAAAATCTTTAACAGAGGGCTTTTTTGGAACCTTTTTGGTCAAAAAGTGTATTTTTCACATAATTTTTGTCTTTTTTGCTTGAATGTTATGAAAATGGGCATAAAATGATCAATAAAATTAAAACCTATTTTAATACTGGAGACGCCATAAGGGGTGCTATAATTCCTTAATTTATCCCATTTTTAGGGTAGGGGGGTTCACTTTAAATCAATATGGCCGCCACCTTTCAGAGTCCAGGATGGAATGTATACCCTGCCCGATTTGTGGCAGAGGGAGTCCCCACAAATGTCCCTATACTCAACACACACTTGTCTTTTTGTTAACAGAAGTATCCCCCAATAATCATTTAAAATGGGGGAGGGGGGTTACACACTGCCACATATCGCGCACCAAATGTGGGAATGATGAGGCTTGGATGACAATTCTGTTATTTTTTGGCATGTTAATGTAACCCGGAAAATTAATAAACTTGGAAAATAATAAATTGAATGAGAAAAACGCTAAATGTTGGGGTACTCGCTGTCAAAAATGAGATAGACCTAGATGGGGTAGGAACAAGTAGAGAGGAATTTGAATAAATAGAAACAATGACAAACAAATTTTTAGAAAGACCAAAAAAGAATGATTTATTTTACCAACCAAAATTTGAGGAAAACCTTTCAAAAAAAACAATAATCAAAAAGGATCCAATTAATTTTTATCCAAACCTTAAACCTGTTATCCACCCCACCAAATAAGTAAAATGGTAGTACTACAGTCGACTTTTGTTATAAAGAACACTTTTACAAAGATGTCCTACTGCTGCTTATAAAGAGCAAATTCTGAGGTCTCGAATCTCTAGTTCTCTATTAAAAAAAAAAGGAAGACGGGCACTACTATCAAAATTTTGACCACTTTGTGATGATTCAGCAGTTGTTTCACCGATTGTAATCTTCATGAGCCCATCTTCTTGACCTGGTGCTAAACAATGAAGAACTAAACCAAAGGCTTCCTTTGCCTTCCTTCTATAATAATGGATGGTGCTATCAGATGCTTCTTCTAATGACAGACGAAGCTGCCCATCAACAGCAGACATTCCCCCCTGAGTAAGGAAAGTGTTCAGGGATTGCAGCTGCACATTCTTTGGTCGGGGGTTGTTGCCCAAGAAGAGTCAAGTGTACCTACATCCTGTGTAATATCTCCATCAGTTGATGAGGACTCAGATGTATGCTAGAAATAATCATGAGAAAATAAAAACAGTGAGATGCGTGCTTCATATAGGGTTGAAATACAAATTGATGTACTCAAAGAAGAGTGCTTACAATTCATCTGTGATAAATGAGATGCAATATGTCAAGGTCCATTCTTAGTTCACTCTCTTTACCTCATGAACTGAAGTGCACTCTGTGTCGGTGGGTTGGAGAGATGGTACACCTACCGGCGATGTGAAATCACTGATTGTACACTGATGCTCTTCTTGTTCCTTAGAGAGCACATCACTAGATGGTAATTGTTCCGCTGTCTGGTGCGTAACTGCTTGTTTGTGCTAAGATAGACAACCTCTACAGATACCTGAAAGTCATATGAACAGTGAGAATTAACAAAGTGTTAAGGCCGCAGCAGGCTTAATATTTTTTTGAAGTAAAAGATATAAAGCGGGGCGTATGTAGCCAACAATATTGAGCAATAGATGCCTTGAACAAAACCCATGTCATAAATCCCCCCCCGCAAAAAAAATAATAATAAATAAATAAAAATAAGAAATCTTCTTTTATTATTTTATATTGCCTGTATTTAATTGCACTTATTACTTTTTCTTTTTCTGATGTGGCTGGCTCTGGAAGATTTGTATAAAAGGGGAAACAAATCTGAAATTGTTCTTTAAGTTGTAAATGGTCAGATGAGTCACATCTCGTGAATAAAAAAAAAAAAAACAATGTAAGTGCAAAAAAAAATATATGTGTTATTCCCCAAACTGCGCATGTTCAGTGCAGTTCCAACTTTCTTTATATAAAAAAAATAAATTCAAAATCCAGCTCCGGCTAAATATCCACCATGTGTGTCCACTGCCGAAAACCAGAGCTGTGACAACCAGTATTAATTTTTCACACAATAATAAATTTCACTGGTCCCAAGTCAACTGCATGATAAGGGATTTAATTGATATAACCTACCCAGGAACAAAGTCAGTTGATCAGAAATGGACCATGACCATGATTAATTCATTTCAATTTTCAAAAATGTATTTTTGTTTGATTTCTGTCTTCTTACCTGTTCCAACACAACAGTGATCAGGGTACCCCATCGATCAAACATCTATGATCTCACGGCTAGTTGCTTTATTCACACCACGGAATGGTTAGCCTTTCCCTTTATGGAGTGGATGACAACATTTCCTTGATGATGTCCAACTCAACCCTAACTTGTATCTATGCGCTGAACGTATTGTCTTATCATGATCAGTGTATGCATCGACGTCGAACAAACCACATCGCAGGCGCAGGAGGATCAGTTTCCACTCGGCATTCACATCATATGCAGCGACTTTCCACTTCTACAAATGGCTCCGTATGTCTTTTGTGCATCGATTAAGTTGCACTGTATTTAGTTCGCGCAGATAAGAGGGATTTACACCACATTCGATGGCTTTGCAACACTAAATTACTAAAATCACATTGCAGCCGCACAGACGGCATGTCCATGGCTGCCATTATGACGGTAATGTAATATGAGGGCGCCCTCTTTCGATACCGCGCGCTAACTGGGTGGGTGGCAACAGAACGTTCCCCTCCTACCGGATCAGTGCGCACCACCAAAGGTAGCCCACTCACCCACCCACCCAATAGGTGAAGTCTGCAAAATGTAGATTTTGTTACGCCCTTACAACAATTCCTGCAAAATGTCAACCAATTGCACTCGGAACTGTCTAGGGGCTATGTAGGTTTGGTCTTGAAAATTAGGAATTTTTCAACTTTGTTGACCGTGAGCAAACAAAAAGAAGAAGAGCTGACAGTTTTTTTATTTTTTATTATTGTAGTCGGATATCTGAACTATATTTCCTCCAAGTTTGTTGACTCTCAGCCCTGCATTAATTAACTTATGGTTAACCGCGTAAAGGACCTCATTTCGTAATAGAGCTGATACGTGTTTTTTTTACGCCTATATCTCCGCAGTGAATGCTTGCATATCAAAGATTTATATTTCATCGTTTAGAGGAGATTAAACCCTTTCTTTTGATATGTAGTTCGACCGTAAACGATTTAGTTTAAGGGTATAAACGAGGCTATAACTTTACACCAAAAACAACACAAATTTACTCCCCGGAAGTCACCCTTTTTGCTCAAAATTGTTAGGGCCCCGTACTCGGCCACCGTGTGATTATTTATCGAGCTACTCCACCTAGTGGTATCGTCTCAGGTGGGGATCAAATGGCCAAGATTTGAACTTAATTCGCTGACCCCCACCTTGTCGATTTTTCAGGATTTTGCATGGTCTTCTCATAAACGCACACTTAACAATATAGTTTTCTATCAAAGGTTTAACGACATGTGTCAAAATGTATCATGACATGTTATTGACATTTATGGCCATCTATTAAACTTCAAGATTATGGTCCAATGTGCCAGAAGATCATGGTGCTTCTCAATGAGAATTTATTTCCTGTTAATAATGAGAACATTTCTCTATCAAGAAAAATTACAATTGAAAAGAAGTATTGCATTTGTATCAAATGAAGTCCATAGTATATCTTCACACAAGAATTATATACATACACAATTTACGATAGAAAAATGGGAAGAAAATTAATTGAAAAATGGTGTGTGTACTCACCGACTATAGACTGACTAACGTTCGTGTGAGAAGGAAAATCTAGCGTCAACTAAATAATAGTCGAGATAAAACACCCTCAAGGCTCTGCGGCGTTATCATTAGCAAAATACGCCTCATACCACAAGTATGAGGCATATTTTGCTAATGATAACGCCACAAAGCAGAATAAAAATTGAAGGTGTGGTCTGCTGGATCAAGAGCAAGTGTGTGAGCGTCCACATACGTTTCATCCAACTTTACACTGCGCATGTGCGTCTTTCTAGGGTTATTTGCACACGTATTTAAGGGCTGCCGATTTGACACCGATGATGTGACTCAAAAAGATATCTTTGCATTGTATTGTTAAATACACCACTTAATTAGGGAGCCGTTGTTATTTAATTACTATTTAGTTCAATCACTGTTTATTTCTCGAAGAAATGTTTAAAGACGTTTTCTGAGAGTGTAGAAACAGTGATTTCATGAAACAACCGTCTTTTCTCAGATGTCGTTTGTTTATATTTAGGACCAATTTTTGACAAGAATATAGCTTCAAAGGTTTAACATTCATACTTGTAAATAACGGTAGAGGGGATTATAAAGTAGTCAAATTTGTGAACAAGTTGTCGCTAGATTTTTTGATTGATTTTTTGATTTACAGCGTTTGAATATTGTCATTAAAAAATCTACTTTTTTCGTCGGAATTGAATAGTTTTGTGTAAAATGTCGACATATAATCACTTAAAATAGCAATAAATGCTTCAATCAATTATCATTGTATTAAAAAATACGGCTTCATCAAATCAAACTAACATGTTTGTTGGAGAAAAAAGACTGGTTGCAATTAGCATAACGGGATGATCCTATGCAATAGCACTACTTAGCTCACAAGTGAGAGTGAGTTAGTAAATCAGGGTTGTACATGAGAGAATAGGAAGCTGTCCCCTGGGACAAGTATAACCTGTAGTTGAAGTTTAAAAATCCTATATTAAATTTCCTTCAGTCATTGTAAACATCAGTAAGCTAAGTAATTCAGAATACCGATATTATGTATCAAATTAATATAGTGCCTTATGTCTTTTTAATTTAAATTTCATTTAATATTGCAGCAACATTCAACCTGGTCGGAAATCGTTATTTGTTAGGCCTACAGGGATATGCGTGTTTCATCCATACATCAAAACACAATGAGAAATACCTGTCACAATCTCCGTAGAATGCAGCACCCACTATTGAATCGTGCAAAGACATCCGTACCGTGATAAAGCATAGTAGAAGCGTCTGAGAAAATCGGTCATCAGGTAATCATTCCCTGACGTACAGTACGTACTTCCGTGACCTTGCAGATCACCGCAAATTTCAGTCAAAACCAGTGATGTGGCACAGTAATAATAGACGCCGTTTTCTGTAGCCAACAATATGCAAACAGACTTAGTTATTGATATAAACGTCACGTGATGTTTGGATTGAGATGTAGGGTTCAATGGGTTGAGTGCCTGCGATTTGCCGCTTAGTCTATTTACAATAGAAACACTGTGGCTTGCTGGATCAAGAGCAAGTGTATGAGCGCCCACATACGTTTCAGCCGACTTTACACTGCGCATGTGCTACTCCTAGGGTTATTTGCACACGTATTAAAGGGAATATAAAACATTTGCAAACATCGAAAAATAAAACTACCAAGTTTTTGCGAAATACCTTAATAGGACGTTGGTAAATGACAGTCTAAAGCATCCTGTAAAAGTATGGCACCTGGTATACTGTCATTTTCAAGAAAAGTGGTATTTTTGTATCAATTTCCAACGCTGATCGGCCGATCAGCGTTGGAAACAACTGGCTTTTTTTCAAATACTGGCCCCAATTGACTATTGCACTTGTTTGCAATCGATTACAAACCTATGAACGGGTACGAGCCAGCTAGACTGGTTCCCTGACCTTACAATTCCCCAATGTATGTAAACTGCTCTGTTTCTTCTTATATGGAGTCAGGGAACCAGACTACAGGTAAATGATCGTTTTTCTTGGTTTTTATAGCATTTTCGAACCCAAAACCTCCAAAAAGTCAGTGTAACTATATTTGCTATATATTTCCAATCCCCCAATTCCATCCATTTCTGAAAATTACAGCAAAAGCAAATGATGTATATTCCCTTTAAGGGGCTGCCGATTTGACACCGATGATGTGACTCAAAAAGATATCTTTGCATTTTATTGTCAACGAGACCACTTAACTAGGGAGCCGTTGTTTTGTATTACTATTTAGTTCAAGTACTGTATAATTCTCGAAGAAATGTTTAAATATATTCTCTGAGAGTATAGAAACAGTGATTTCATAAAACAACCGTCTTTTCTCAGATGTCGCTTGTTTACATTGAGGACCATTTTTTGGACAAGAACATTCTTTCAGAGGTTCAAAATTCATACTTATAAATAACGGTAGAGGGGATTATTGAGTAGTCAGATTTTTAAAATTAATCTCTTGATTGACCGTGTTTGAATATTTTCCAAAAAATCAACATTTTCGTCGGAATTGATTTGTTTTGTGTAAAATGTCGACATAAATCACATAAAATAGCGCTAAATGGTTCAATTATTTATCACCGATATTCAAAAATACGGCTTCATAAAACCAAACGTACCTGTCTGTAAGGAACAAAATAAAACGACTGGTGTCAATAAGCACAATGGGGTAATCTTATATAATAGCACTGCTTAGCTCACAAGTGTGAATGAGTGTTGTACATCTAGGAATAGGAGGCTGGCCCTTGGGACTAGTAATAAACTGTAGTTGGAGTTTTAGGCTTACTCTATTAAACTCCCTTAGGTCATTGGCAACATCAGTAAGCTAAGTAACTGGGAACACCGATGTTACTTTAGAATCAGATTAATATAGTACGTGATGTCTTTAAACTTCGATTTATATTGCAGCTCGAAATGTCAAATTACCGACTTACCTCTCCCCGAATGAGGTCATTCTTCACAGAGGTCAGACTCAGCACATCCGATGCCCCAGTTACATCAAGGGTGAACGAGTGAGCCTAGTGTTCTGGTTCAAAGGAGAACAACTCCTAGCCCGCTATACCCATCCCAAAGTTGGCAGTAGTTACGCATCGAGCGATCGTTATCGGATGTCCCACTCGCATGATTTGATCATAAGTCATGTCGACATGAGGGACCAGGGGGATTATGTTTGCAGTGTTGTCCCCACGGCTACTGCGTTACAGAGGAGGCAGTCGATTTCCGTCACTGTCATGAGTGAGCATACAACATAATTATTTGCATTACATTTTGCTGATTGAAGTCAATGTGTTTGGATTAGGGCCCTCATAGCTAACATTTACTTCATTCACCTGGTTATTACCATGATACTTTTTAAGATGTTATCACATTGTGTGTCCAAGTGCATTTCCCCCAGTTATGTCAATGTAAACGAGTCATTGTTTGCCTGTGACCCAAATGTTATACAGGGTGAGTACAAAAAAAGAAACCTAAATGTCTGGACTATTGTGTTTGTGATGTTTTGCATGTAGCACTTTCAAAATCTAGGATATGAAAGCCCAATTCATAAGCTTTGTTTTAGTATAAAAATCATTCAAACACTCACATACTTTTTAAGTTATAGAATTTTAAACACAACCAAGATATTTTAAAGTTCTGTCCACGGATCACAAAAAAGGCGTGCTTTCTTTCAGCAGCACGAAAATACATACATCCCTATGTGACTTCCCTTTTTGTGATCCGTGGACAGAACTTAAAACGGTGGTTACGTCTAATACTCCGTAACTTGCAAATTACATGAGTGATTCCAATAATTCTTGTACTGAAACAAAGCACATGAAATTGGCTCTCATATCTAAGAAACTGCACGAAAATAATGGTCCCGACATGTGGGTTTCTTGTTTTTTTTTTAACTCATCCTGTACTAACCTTAACCCCCCCTCTAAAAAAAATACCAACAAAAGTTGCATTAAAATGGGGGCGTTCGTAATGTCAAAAAAGCAAACAGCGAGAATATATTAATATCAAAATTGTATGCAAGGAACTGTTACCCAACAGTCCCCCAGTTTAAATTCAGCAAATATAACATTAATATCAATATTCCAAATGAATTGAATAAATCAATGAACTTGACATATCATCAGAAAATTGTAATGAAAGCACTGATGTTAAAAATCTCTTCTTACACTAAGCTCCTGTTGTTGCATCCATTTTAGAAATGTTCGATTTCATTTGTATTCAGCTGATGTCCCGAGCTTTAAAGAGGCCATGGACCTTACAGAAGGCGAGGTCTACGTACACCGGAACCAGACTCATCACATTCAATGTCCAAGCTACAGGGAAGGGGAGTCCGTGAGTTTAGTCTTCTGGTTCAAAGGAGGACAACTTATAGCCCGCTTCGCCAACCCAGCAGTTGGCACTAACTTTATTTCGAGTCGTCGTTACTGGATGTCCAGTTCGCACGGGTTGGTCATATACCAAGTTCAATCAGCTGATGAAGGAGACTACGTGTGCGGTGTGGTGCCGAGTGCGACAGGGTTGCAAAGGAAAGGGTCAGTGCGAGTTACTGTGTTAGGTGAGGCATCTGCATGTATCACTTGCCATGGCTGTTAATTAATCACACAATAATTTATATGGTGGCTAACCTATCCAGGCTGTTGGGTCCTGGTTTGAATCCCATCCAATGACCAATACGAATTTGTCTGTCGGTCCCCACTTGATCGCTTTGCATTTCATGTGAACTATAATCTCCACAGTTTTTTTCGTGCTGAACTCTTCCATGTTTCCGTCGAAATGATATCCACCCAAACAAGGTCCTCTGCATGGGCATTTGCTAGCCAACTTTATCAGTCTTTTTGAATTCTTTTATGAAACATCAAGATTTGGTCTGACCTCGTCAATGTACATTTATTGATAGTTGGATCAACAATGGAGAGTGCGACCAGTGGGAACGTTGACTACAGTGACGAAATAACTCATCAGGAAATAACTCATACCGTCCAAGGTGAGATTAGAGATCAGAACTAGAACATCGCGAAAAAAGTGTGGTAATGTAGCCCTACTGAGTTAAATCAAAGAAAGGGATCTCGAAATGTTACAGCAGGCAATCCTGTAGTAAATAAAATGAATAATAATAATAACGGGTTCTTATATAACGCTTTTAACTAAGATCAAAGCGCTTGACAGTATTATTAGTAAAGCTTGTCGCGGATTTTTTTTCATGCATTGTTAATTGTGCAACGAAAACTAGACCTAGACGAGTCATATCAGGGCACGTGCATGACTCCTGGCGCAAACCCCGTACCAGCAGTTTTATTTCCGAATCCATCGCCCAATGACCAATTATCTGAAATTAGCTTGTACCGTCGAAATTGAATGGGATTTTGTTTTACGTGCCTAGATTGGTTGACCGGCCTTCCCCATTTTTTGTTGTTATGGAGTAATCCTAAACGATATAAGTACTGTCTACTCTGAAGTAAAAGTTAATCAATCCATCAGTGAGTCAGTAGGCTGAGTATCAAAGTGAAATATCCACCAAGAGAAATTCAGGCTGGCTACCTGTAATCATCCAAAATTACAACAATCGGAAGTTACAAACTGTGACGGCGGCTCTGAAAGAGTCTTGTTGAATAGGAATTTACAGGAATTTTTCACAGGAAATATTGTTGTTTGGGCAAGTGACAAGATGACTGCCCAGTCCTGGCAGTGTTGCGCAAAGTTCAAGCCTCAACAGTTTGTATCTCATCTGCAAGACGTGCAACAACGTCAGAAGCTTTCTAGTATATCCTAACATCTGAAACATCCCCAGTGTATGTCTCGCGACTATTTTGTTGTGAAATAAACTGCGTTTCTGTGGAGCCTCCCCTGTCCAACCTCTTGACACGGTGTTCATGTCACAACAAATGACACGTTCCATCGGTTTCATGGGATGATTAGCCAGAAAGCGAATGAATGCCACAGAATACAATAACATACCTCAATCAGCATTTGGATTTTCTTTCTTTCACTAGGCAATACACCTTTAGCTTACGATTCCATAGCTCTCTCGGCAGAAAAGCTTCCAGACGTCTCAGCTGTGCAGTCTGCCGTTCCTGCAGTAGTATGTACGCTAGCTGTCATAGTCCTCATAGGCATATGCATTGTCGTCTTGGTGAAGATGAGACAAAGCAACATGAATGAAGCTGAGGACAGTGAACAGAAACATCAAGGTAAAGAACTTCAAAATCATTTCATGTTTATACACACAGAGTTGTAGCTGCGGTACTTCAGATGATTTGCAGATATTGTGGTGGAATGTGCTATAAAATTATTTGAACTAAACATAAACTGATTCCGAACTAAACATGATATGATTTTGAACTAAACATGATATGGTTTTCAACTAAACATGAAATGATTTTGAACTAAACATAATTTTGAGCTAAACATAAACTGATTTCGAACTAAACATAAAATGATTTTGAACTAAACATAAAATGATTTTGAACTAAAAATAACATGATTTCGAACTAAACATGAAACGATTTTGAACTAAACACGATTTTGAACCAAACATGAAATGATTTTGAACTAAACTCTAAGTTTGTAATTTTTTGGACCCACTTTTTGGGGGACCAAAAATTTGTTCCGCCCCCCCCCCAAAAAAAAGTGTTCTGGATCCGCCCTTGTTCCCACTTCAGCTGTGACGTCATGTCGACCCGGGGGCCAAAAAAGCGAAACGATCACCTCAGCCTTTTTCTGATCTTGCCATCATGACGACACTTTAAACCAGCCATATTTCAAGAAATTGTTTATACAGTGAAGACCAGATGTTGGCTTTCTAACTACTGCAAATGTTTGTAAATAGTGGCTTCATGGTCCATACCCCCTCATCTTCAAAATCACACCCCTCAGATCCTCGAGAAATAATTTTGTAAATTACTACAGGCCGTCTACACAACAGGCCAGTCTACACAACAGGCCGTATTTTTTTTGGTTGAAATAGAACGGGCAGCTATTCTGCTGTCTTCCCTTTTATCCTTCAAAAGTGAGGAAATATTTTAAAAGGAATTGTACCGTTGAAGAACTAAGAGAGATAGGAAGCCATGATGCAGTCAATGTGACCTATGACCTGTGATATGACCCATGCAATTCATTTACAGATGCATCTAAGGGTTCCACACACGACTCCAAAGCCGATCGGAGTACCACACCCAAAGAACGGGCCACGAGGGTGGCTCACCGGACAGACACTGAATATGCTGCTGTCGTCGACATGCCTCAAGGTAAAAATCATTTCGTAAATCCTAATAAGTTCATCAACGTTATACAAACAAAAAAGACAGTTAAGAAATACTGAAATTGTTATCACAATTCAATATAAATCATTTTTATTAAATTAAATAAGACAACGCAAGCCTAGTAAAGCTGTCTCCGAGTACTCAAAATACTCTTGAATTAATTCAGACCGGCTATTCGTTTGAAGTCTTTTCATGCATGTGGTCTACACAACAGGCCGTGGATTTAGGTCAAGCGGTGGGTTTTAGGGAGTAATCATATACGATAGCACTGTCCAGCTCACAAGTGATAGTGAGTCATTGGTCAGTTACATAGTCAGTAAGATATGTGAAGGCAAAAACATGGCACTATAGGCTGGTCCTCTAAAACCAGTAAACACCTGTTAAACTGTAAATATCAATTGTATCAGATATTGGAATATAAATGTCCTATCCCCGCCCCCTTCAACTCCTTCATAATTATTTTCTTCCATCAAATATGACATTCATATCTGACACTAATACATTTCTCTATACAGATAGACCTCAAGGTTCCACAGAAAATTATTCAGCTGACAGAAGTGAAACTTGTACAGCCGTTTAGGACTTCCCAACGTTTCTGTTGTCGCTGTTCAGCATGGAGAAAAAAAAGTTTGTATATTGCCTATTGGACTGTACAAAATCATTGAATGATACAAGATTGTCACTTTTAAAATTGATATTTTCTTGAATAATTGTACTTACAGTAACACTGGGAGTAAGGGTGACATGACCTTCATATTTCAGTAGGCACACCTTCATCAAACCACAATGCAATACGCAAACAAACCAAAATTCAGTTTCAAAGATTACCATACTGCTGAGATACGGTGGCTACAAAATTGCCTAATTAAATATTCATGAATTCATAACATTAGAAAATAGACTGCCTGTTAATGTAAATGCAATATTTGTTATGTTTGAATGTCGCTCTACGCTTAGATCTTAGCCCAATTTGATTGATATTTAGTGAGATATGATAATAAAGATCTAATTAACAATTCTGGTAACACCGGAAGTAATTGTCCATTTGCTCGATATTCCAGCAGACATACTTTTAGACAAATTCAATACAATATGCAAAGAACTGAAGAACCATACGTTGGTTTGTTGAGAAATGGTGGATACAAATATAGCCTCATTTAATATTGGTGACGTCATAACTGGAGAATTACTTCATTGAGCATCTCATCACCTTAAAAAATAGAAATAAGTTTAGACTGTCTCTAGATAATGCAACAGGCTCTATGGTGCGATCTGAGGCAATTTCCGACCCTTTTAACCATTTTTTCCCCGAGCAAATAATGGTGTTGTATACGCAAAGCCTGTATTTTTTGCGATGTCACTTTAAAAAAAAATGGGATTTTTTTTGTTGGTGGGGGGGGGGGGATGGCCCTCGTTGGCCCTCCCCCCTTGGTCCGCCCTTGACAAAGACTGTAATTTACTTCGTCCTCCTGCTAGTAGTTATTCTCTACCAAAACTGTAGTATGTAAAAACGTGTGATTTGCAAATAATTTGAAACTGCTCCGCTTTCACAAATGTGTGTAAATAGTTTATTGATTATTGCTATTCTTCACAAATTTTTCTGCAGATGTAAATACTCGGCAACAATGTAAACACTCGATATAACAGTGTGTGTGAAGCAAATTCCATTGCATGACAATTTTTTTAACAACTACTTTGTGTTTGATACAATATCTCCATATATCAAACACAGTTTGGGGTAGCTGGGTACCCCAGTATACCTATATCCTATACATACAAGCTATGCAAATTGCTTACTTAGATTTGTGTTTTCATTCAGCTTTTCTCTGTTTAATGTATACAACAGGTAATTTAATAAAACATCAGGATATATAGCTTTGTTTTCACTAATTGCATTTTTGCAACTTTAAAATATCTTTTTGTAAAGACTAAATTACGGTCACGTAATAAGTGGAAGTTAGAAGTAGCCTTTTTTCGCCAGACATGGACTTACAGAAGATTATGCAAAACAAATTTAGGCTGACTTGAGTCACATTTTAGGTTGTACCAACCTCCATAATTTTCATAGGGCAAATATGAGCATTGTTCAGGCAAGATTTAGGACAAAAGATTCCAATTTTATGTATTTTTAGACATGTAAAATATACTAATACTGGAATTTGAATGCACGTTTTTCCATTGAACATTTAGCAAATGAACTCGAATAATCCTCTGTGACGAGCCAATGCTGATACGAGGAGCAATTCATTTTCATATAAAAATTGAAGTTGGCCGAGAACTAAAGGACAGCTCAAACAACGTAAAACTGCTATTATCTTTGGTGTACTAGGCCTTTTCCTCAATGTATCAGTTGAACTGTAACACTGAATGATTTAACTCTAACGTAGTATTCCATCTTAAGGGATCATTTTTTTCCATAAAGGAAAAATAAGTTTGTGTACATATCCATCTTCGTTTGCATTGTTAAGTTTGATAGACTATTCAATAACAGACTTTTTACTTCGCTAAATGCAGCGTTGGACTGGTTTTTTTTTTGTTACCAATAATTCAGGACAAAAGCTGTCAACTGACCTTTTCCCCTTCCTTTTGTAGGGGAAAATTGCTAATGTTGCCATTATTTGGTAACTCGTAAACATACAACAATATTGATCTACTGTAGATTTTAAGTAGTAAGTAGTGTAAGTAGCCCAATTTGAATTGATTTTAATAAAAGCTGTTTGGAATGAGCATAACCATAAGAACAGGCACTTTTCAAACCGGCAGTTCCCATCTTTTGCATAGATAATGGAGGAATGTTGCATTTTCCTGACGCCACCTTTTTCATCATATATTTCTCAATGTCGAAAAAAACCCACAGGAATCTGAGACCGAGAAACACTTCTAATTTTGACAGAAAATAGTTTGAATATGCACCCTACTCTCCATAAACTTTGTACATAACCAAAGAAGTAGCGTCTGGATACTGCATTCTTTCCGAAATGTTGGCCGAATAAGTTTAAAGCGCCCTCTCTTGTGTCGTCAAAGTTTGAACTATTGAACCCCCAGAAATCACTAAGCAGCAATCGACCAATTAAATGCCTAGACGGTGTTGTGCGGTAAGTACGAATCTAATTATCCATGTACTGATGGCATGTAGTAGGCATACATAAGCTAGGTGATAGTGATATACATGTACACAGCAGTTGCGCATGAATGGTTGAATGAAAATGAATTATTTTATTAGTTTGGTCCTGTGGTTTGGTTTTATCACAGTAATTTCTGCTCAGTACTTTGGAATGGCTCGTTCTATCGGTGATGGCCATTTGACGAGGAAACGTTTGACGAGGAAACGAGTACGAAAGCGAACGCTCTTCAGTCATGTTAGTTTATTAATATTATTGTTACTGTTGCCTGGTCTCAGGTGGGAAAAAGATGTCCTTGTTTTATTTAACTTAATACACAGCTTATAATGGAGTTGACATAGGCCTAGGCCCTTTACCGATGTATTCAGTGTAGGCCTATGTACCCGAAGTATCTTAAAACGTGCACTCACGAATAAATCCCAAATTCCTTGTTGTGTGTCCCTATAGTATATACAAATATATATACTTTATATATTTTAGTATATACAGATATATATACTACTTGTTATGTGTCCCTATAGTATATACAAATAATGGAAACGACATTAAAAAAAAAACAATATCGAGACAATATAAAATCGCGACATTTGACAGTTGGCAGGAAGGGCTTCCTTTGATCACAAAACAACCTTTCTTTGATCAAAGAGCACACGCAATGGAAATTGTGTGATGCTTTCCTTGAAAATGCACTTTTGTTAAGCCAATTTGAGCGAATACAATTACTCTACAAAATTTTCGAAGGCAATGATTTTTTTTTTTTAAAATACTGCTCGTCGACCACTGGAATTCGATTGCACGTTTTGTTCAGTCAACACTCAGCGAATGAGCTCGAATAATCCTTTATGACGAGTGAATGCTGATGTAATGAGCACTTTATTTTCAGATGAAATTTAGTGAGCTGTTCGAGTACTAATTTTAATTAGAAGGTCATCCCGGATAGTATTAGTAATGTTACACCTTCATTTTTTGAGGGGGGGGGGGTGCCAAGTAACAAGTAGTTTTATTTGGCGCACATGGCTGTGAAACAATTTACTTTTTACAGTGCAGATAGCTCGTGTAAAAATGATGTGGGAAGAACTACGCGAAAAATGGACCTCATTAAAAAAAATGTCTTTATTCTTCATCTAAGAAATAAAACTAGGTGAAACAATAAACTTACTAACTTGCCTGTTAAATAAAGGAAGACAAGTAAACTCTAATCTGCAATTTCACAAGTCTAAGGGTTGGTTTTCAAATGGCTTTATTTTGTTTCCATAATTATTTTTGATGTTCAGCAATTGTCAATGAACACCTGTAATTGTAAATAAACTTTTTTTTAACAAAAAAGTTAACGTAATTATTATTAAGAACTTCAATTAAGCTTACCTAGCAACATATATTTATCTCCTTAAAATCAACTATTAACGTACATTGTTGTATATTTATGGATTTGGAGGATAATTTTCCTCATTCATCTAGCTGTTATAAAATGTGGCTTTGTGGTGCTCTTCCTTGAACTACCTGCTTTTTCTGAGAAACAGGGTGGGAATTGAACCCACATCTCCACATTGACACACTCACCCAGTGAGAAACTGAACATCAAGACAATGGTATATCAAACTGTACATTTGTCAGCAACGTGACAACAGATCGACTCAGCTTATTTTACGTTTGAAATGTCCCCTCGTTTAACATGTAGGTCATACAGGTCGTGTAGTAAAAAAGAGTCAAGAGATCCAGTCTGTGTGCATACCCACCAAGTACATGTGCATTTGTAACCCCCTTCATGATTTAGTGGTCAATTAAGAAAAATGCCTACCTTTATGGGAAGTTGAAAATGCTCGGAACAGCATGGTGTCTCAGGCGGACTGTTTGCCTTGACCTATCGAAATCACCTTCCACAACCTGTGTGCAGTTTCATTCATTCAATCATTATCAATTTCGCAGACAGGTATTTGTTGACTATTTTATTAGTGTCACATGCAGACTAGCAGTATTCAACCTTTACAGTCATTGTCAATCGTTATTTAATAGACCTACAGGCCACAATTGTAATTGTGAAAAATAATGAGAAATACCTCCTTTTCACAGTCTCCCTTGAATGCTTTTTTTGCATGGCATTTTTTGGTAATTTATTTTTAGGAAATACAAGTCAATATTTGCACCTTTTAACTATTTAAAGATTTGTTGGCAAATGAACAGCCAAAAGACAGTTTTCCTTTTCATCGCACTATTTTGACGGTATTTGTAGACTTTGTAATTACATTTCGAATGAAAAAAAGCTCCACCGACGGGTAATTCCACAGTGTCTCGGGAACGTGCCACACACTATTTCTGGTTCATCTAAGCCGAGTAAGTTTCTTTTCGACTTTAACTTTTAGCAATGGGACCAAATTAATATGTAGAATATTGTATACATGTAGTTTTCACTGCAGTCTGTTTCACTCTGTTGCAACAGTAAGGTAGTCATTGATGTTTC